ACTTTATATATAATATATGCATAATATATTATATACTATATATTATATATGCATAATATATATTATATGCTATATGTATATCATATATTATATATGCATACATATGATATATGCATAATATATATTATATAAGCGTAATATATAATATAAATTATATATAAAGTTGTGTTATAACATATATTTAAGTTATATATTATATAAAAATATATATCTATATCTGTACACATACACACACACACACACGTATATGTATATACATGGAGTACACTCTAAAGTAGGCCAGGTACTATGTGGTGGTTCATGTCTGTCATCTCAGCACTTTGAGAGGCTGAGGCAGGGGGATCACTTGAGGTCAGGTGTTTGAGACCAGCCCAACCAACAAAATGAAACCCATCTCCACTAAAAATACAAAAATTAGCCAGACCTGGTGATGCATACCTGTAATCCCATCTACTTGGGAGGCTGAGGCAGGAGAATCCCTTGGACCTGGAAGGTCGAGGTTGTAGTGAGCTGAGATTGCACCACTGCACTCCAGCCTGGGTGACAGATTGAGACCCTGTCTCAAAAAAAAAAAAAAGAGAAAGAGTACATCTAAAATAACGATTACAAGTATAGTGTTGTAAATATATTAACCAGTAATATCACATTTATTGTCAAGTCTTAGGTAATGCACATAATTCTGTGGGCTAAACTTCAATACGACTGGCAGTACAGTGGGTTTGTTTCCACCAGCATCACCACAGGCACATGAGTTACGCATTGTGCTACAATGTTATGTCACTAGGGGACAGGAATTTTTCATCTCCATCATAATCTTATAGGACCGCCATTGTAGATGCAGTCCATCATAGACCAAAACATTATGCAGCACACGACTGTTGTTATTTTGGGTTTCAGCTTTTACTGAAGAGTCAATCCGTAATTAGTATCTCCATGTTTTATGTCTTCTATCTATATATCCCTTAAGTCCTTTGAAACCTCATCCCAGTTACACTAGAAACAACAAATGTCTTCAAGGTAATTATTTGCATATGTATTTATTAATTGAGTAAATGAGCTCTGTTTCATAAATACTGTTCAATGCCACCCAGACCTGAAAGGACACATTTTCCTTAGCTGCAGGTAAGAGTATCAAATTATCTTACAGCCCTCTCCTAGAAATACCTCTGCTGAAAATGTGGCCATGTCCAAGATCATTCTGCCTTCTTCAGGCATCCAACAACTGGTCTACTTGGGTATAAAGACATTTCTATCATTACGTAACACTCTTCTTTTCCGAGATAAATTTCCTTGCTTGAGGTCTTCTCTGTCTGAAACTTTCATTTAGTTAAAAGTTTGAGTAATTATTTAAAAAAAATAACAGAGATGTGTGAATTTGGGGAACTCCAGGAAGAACTGCTGATGAGGCTTCTCATGGTCTTGTCAGTGAGTAGAAGGTGGACAGTTTTACTTCTGGTTCTCACACTGACTTGTATCCCTTTGGTGACCCAGCCTAATGGAAATACCCATGTATTTGACTCCTGACCTTGAGATGTCATCCAATCCTTTCCAGGCTGGGGAAACTAAAGGTCAGATTCACTAGGTTAAGCAAATGTTCACAAGAAAACACAGCTTTGGTGCTCTGCTTGCATGTCTGTGTTCCCACCTCCACTTTGATTTCGGCCAGCTAGTTCCGTAACATCTCATCAGATCTTTGGTAATTTTACATGGTCATTTTAATATTCTTCCATTCCTTTTAAGCTAACTTTTTTAGGTGGACTTCTCCAAATCATTACCTTGTTACTGGAAATGAAACCAAAGCCAATTTGTTTTCATGTTATTTTTATTAACACAAAGTCAGTTTCTCCCAGGTCCCACTAAACAAATGCTGAACACAAAGTATGAGTTTGAAAGGATGCCAAGTTACCAGTTTTCCTGGTCACTGATATTCATGCTCTGTAATCCAGACACCTTAATCTTTCACTGAAGTAACTCAGCTGAATTAATAATCACCAGAATATCGGCTCCACCTACCTGTCCTTTTGCTTGTCAACAAATATAAAGCACCTAAAAGTCTTTCTAGGCTTGGGGATAAAGACAATCTTAGAAGAAAATGCTCCTCACAACAACTGTCTGTGGTAGTATTTTTATATCTTTTTGCATATGAGGACATTGATACAAAGAAAGGTTGAGCAACAAAGCGGCATAACTAAGAGAGGAGGCCAGGCTCAACAGCCCGGGGCCCACGTCCCTAACCCCTATTACGTCTTTGATTCTAACACACAAAATGAAAAAACAAAGATGAATTCCTCTGCTTGTGTAGATTTGCAAGGGAGACATTTTTCACCGGGTTTTGATACACAGGATTCCAATTAGTGATTAGAGATTTAGGTTGAATATTTCTTCTCATTTTCCATAATTTATACTTGTGCTATGAATATCTCCTTCAGTCAATGTTTCAAATTATGTGTTTTCCTTCTTCCTGTTTACATTACCTTGAAAGCATAAAAGTTATTTGAGAAAGCAATTAAATAATTTATGTCTCAGTTTATATGATGACATTTAGAAAATAACACCTGGAAAATCATTTTCTTTAAAGTAATGTTAATGATCCAAAAGGAAGAGGTAAAATGCAAAATGTCAGTAGCCCATGAATAAAGGACAGTTTATTCCTCAGTGATTGACACATACTGATTATCTTCGTGGAAGACCAAAGTGTATAAAATAATTGAGAGCATTTAGTGAAGAGGTGATTGAGTTCGCTTAAAAGCTTAACATAATATTTAGCTTATGGTATTACAACATATTGCTACCATTTATGTTTACTTTTGAAATAAACATACATCAATGAATTCTATTGTATGTGGCAAAAATTTATATTTATCTTTTAAACAAAACCCTTCTTGCTAAATACATAGTTTATTGAGAGCCAAAGATACTCCCAGCTTTACCTAAGCATGAAGACACATAAAACCAAAATGATCTCATTTATAATTTTCCACTGTAAGAATAAAGAACTATCCAAAATTGTCAGAAACATAGATGATTTTTAATGTTAAAATTAATTCTCATATATAATCATGTGCCACATGCATTATACTAGTTAGTAATGTTATTCATACATGGGGACATGAAATGGATAAATAGCAAAATCCTATATTGTAGGTGGGGAAGGAAGGAGCACAGAGGAAAGCAGAGGTTGTTTGTAACGTGTGTAAGTTACATGGAAAAACAATAATTCTGCACTAAAGCAGAAGAATTGTCATCCAGTGATCTTCTACCTCAGTGTTGCTCTCTTCTCCCACCTCACCCCCCATAATCAACAGAAAGTCGGAGAAAACTCACCCTCCTTCTTGTTGCACAAAACATTACTCCACTTAGAAGGGATGATGTGTACTATCCAGAAATCAACAGCTTTAGGCAATTCATTAGAGTGAACTGCTTAAAGAAAAAATCATAGATATTATCAACTGCACTGCTCTTCATACTAGCAAATGAAGCATGCCTGTAGTTAATACTATTAATAGAGATGAGTTTAATGTGTTTATTGTAGTAATTACAGACCTAAAAACCTGGATAAATCTTTGCAACTACCACTTTGGTTTCCTACTACAAAATCCTCTTGATGTTACAGGCTGAGATGAAATTTAGACCCGTGTAGTATAGAAAGGTAGATCAGTAAGTGACAAGGGAAACACATAAGAAGGCAATGATAAGGACATGGTGGAGGACAAAGATCCATTTTTCTAGCTGTATCTGGCCATGGCTTTCATTAAAAGCATAAAAACATAATGAGTCAATATCTTGATAGTAGTTTCTTTTCAGGCTTTAAATGAATTGCTTGGCAAATTAGATTAAAACCCTTGGAACCTGGAATTTATTATTAGTTATTTCCAGGAGCAACTTCCAAAGATACAAAACATATAGTAATGCGTGCTTTATTAGAGAAATGCATTATTAGTGACACTGATGTCTAATATGAATTTCCTCATAAGGTGGTGGTTGTGTGCAACATGCCTGGGAATTGCACAATTTAATTTACACTCATCCACCTTGAAGGTGGGTATACTACTCTTGCCATTTTACAGAAAAACAAAACTGGTTCTCTACTTATTCCAGTTCACATTACTAAGTTAGTAAATGCCAAATCTAGAATTTAGAGCAAGGTCTTTTTTCAATTCTATGTATGTTCTTTCTGACTGCTTTCTTTTGCAACTGTTTCTCTTTTTTTCTGTTTTTTAAAGTGAATGCAGGTAATTAAGAAAAACTGAACAATAAAGGCAGCATTCATGGAATAAATGCAGAGCCCTTAAAATGACATTATTAAAGAATGTGTTCTGTTTGAATGTACAAGTTATTTTAGGTTTCTTTTCACGCATACTTTGTCTACCGTGAATTGTATAGTCTCATCAAAGAAGTCCACATCCCAAGCTATATTAATAAATGTATATACTTTCTTTTCCTAAAAACAGTTATTTCAGTCAAAGCAGAATTTTTTTTTTTTTTTTAGATGAGTGTCACTCTATCCAGGCTGGAGTGCAGTGGCACCATCTTGGCACACTGCAACCTCTGCTTCCCGGGTTCAAGTGATTCTCCTGCCTCAGCCTCCCGAGTAGCTGGGACTATAGGTGTTAATTTTTATATTTTTAGTAGAGACGAGATTTCACCATGTTAGCCAGGATGGTCTCAATCTCTTGACCTTGTGATCCGCCCACCTCAGCCTCCCAAAGTGCTAGATTACAGGCGTGAGCCACCGCACCCAGGCAAAGCAGAAATTTTTTATTGATCTGCTGTGGCAAAGATTTCCAAATTCAACACTGGCATTCAACACAGATTCATAAATCTGTGTTGAATGAATTTAGTGACTGCAGCAAGGATCCATCCAAACTAAGCTTATGATCAGAGAATACTCTTTTGCCTGCATGCAGCTTCTATCAGTGGTTGCCTTATTACTCTGATGTACAATCTCATCTGTGTTACATAACATAGTAGGAAATCAAAACAGTGCCAACATGAGAGAATCAGCTTGCAATTATTTTATCCACTGGACCCTCATTATAGTAAATCACAATTCTATTGGCCTTTACATATTACATAAACAAATTACACAAAAATTACATATTACAAATACAAATTAAAACAAAGTTTCCTATGAGCTAGATAACAGAACTATATGTGAAAAGTAAACACTATCACAAAGTTTAAACATTCATAAACATGCTTTTAAAAAGTTTATTATTCCATTTAAATACAGTGTTCACTTTTTTTGTTTTTGTATTTGTCTTTGGTAAAAAAAATGCAAATACGTACAAAGTAACAATGAAAGAGATAACACTGGAAGCAAAGAGCTCTATTATGTATGAATTATTTTGTTAATTACATAACAACTTAAAGCATAGATTCCTTTAAAACACAGAAAATCTTTCATGGTTAAGAATGTGATTATCCTTAATATAAATCAATTTAAAGTTTTCATATAGTAAAATGCCGTTAAGTTCTGAAAATATTAAACAGACTAGTTGTCCCATTACAGGGAATTGTCTGAAATAATGAATACTGGTCAGTGCCAAAGAAGTTACCAAAAGTACTTTTCCTAAAGCAGAAATGACCTCAAATTATACATAGGTATTTGGCCCTGATACTCCTACTGGGTAAGCTATGTAAACAATTTAAGTATAACTTGGAAGCCTAGGGTGGCAGATATTTTTACCCGTCATAACTAAAGCTCCTTTCATTTTCAGCAGACTGAAGAGTGTTAGATATTTGCCCTTGTGGTCTTGGTAGGAGCTGTAGAATTCCATAATTCTGAAAAAAAGAAGGTTTCTATCTGAATGATGTAGGATCTGCAGCATCATAAATTTAGGGAAAAGATTAATATAAGCATTAGAATTAAGCAGATTAGGAAACAATTAGCTAGTGATATGTATAAAAAATAAAAATATCACTTGAAGAACTGAATACTGTATTTACACAAATTATACAAAATTCAGGATATCCATATTCAAAGACAGAGTTGAAAAACAACTCTATCATATCCAGGAAAGACACAGAGAGTTTACTCTTGACAGTATGTCATGCTTTTTCATCAGTACTTTTAATGGAGTTTTCTTTTGGATTGAGTGAAGTTGTGTAAGATGCACTGTTTGCAACAAAGAGAATTCATAGACCAACAAAGGGCTTTATTAGTGCAAATTCATCTAAATATTTACAAGCATATGTGATAGTGCATTTCAAAGCAATCTAAGAAGGAATATATTACATGGGAAATTGTCTTAATATTTTCATTCTATCTTGCAGAATTTCTAGAAAAATCAACAAGCAGTAGTCCTGTCTTAAGCACAGAATTTAAAATAAAGTTTACCTTCATTACAGAAAACAAAACAAAATATTATCGGCCTTATAAATTTTAGTATGAGTACTGAAATTAGGTACTTCATAGATTTATTTTCATTAATTAATGCACAAAAGTAACTAATTTATAAGAAATATAATACTGTGTTTTAAATAGTTCTTTAAAATATACGTTTACTGGGTAAGTATTTTTACACATATTTAAATTAAAAATTAAAAATATAACATCCCTTCATATACATATGAACTATTTCAAAAAATGTAAGTACCCTTTTAGGTGAATATTTTTTAAATAAATATTTACAAGAGAAGAGAATAATTTTCTATCCAAAGGCAATTCCAATTTCTCTCTTATTCAGCAGATGTTCCTCTCATTTTTTCAGCTAATTCTTTTCTCACTTCAATGTGTTTTTCTAAATTTTGCACTTCATGTGGAAGATTGATGTCCCAAACAGTCAAGCAAGATTGTGTCTCTACAAAATGAAAAAAATGAAGTCATGTTTCAAAGATCCACCATAAAACATTCTTATTTTATTTCAGTTTGGCTCATGTATATTTAGTTGACTTAGATAAATGTATCTATAAATACAGCTGTGACTAATGTACTAAATTATTACCATTTATAAAATACTATACTTAGAAAATTTTTATAATACATTATATAAACTAAATTTCAAGAAGAGTATGGACATTGATAAATTAACATTTCATATTCTAAAAGAAATAAAGGCTTTTCAAGCACTGTTGAAAATTAGACATTACGTAGATATAGGTAAGTTTTAAAAATTATTCACATTTAGATTAATTTTGAGCTAGTTTTCAATTTATAGTGATTGACACTTCTACTTCATCTGAAAATATAAATATTTAATACTTCATATCACTTATAATTTTGAAAATTTATGTCTAAGTTCTTTACACTATAAACTACCAATTAAAATCGATGATTATACCACATGTAATATTTTTTTACAAATTTATAAAACACATACTATGTTACCATCATTCATGTCATTGCACTGTTTGAATTACAGCATCCTATTGATTTAAATGTTACCTTTCTGGTGCTGTGTACCTTCAGTACTTTTCCAGTTGTAGCCCAAAACCAGCATGACATTTTTAAGGCTTCCTTTACAAAAACAAAATATAGAAGTTTTCTGTTAAAACTATATATTAAAATGGCCTGAAAAAAGTAAAGTTGTTCATAGGTTAAGACACAAATACCTTGGAACTGAATTCACAATTCTATTTTCTAGGTGACCCTTTAATTATATTGGTTAAAGACCAGTATTTTTAAAAAAAAATAACAAAATCTGTGATCCAATGCTTCCTGCAATTCTTAATTATGTGAGTCTGAGAAAATAGCTTAACCTTTCCATAAAATAGGCTTAATATTTATACATTACCCTCCCCAAAGTTACAATGTTAAATGAGGTAATATGTGTTAAAAGTTCTTTGGATACGGTAAGGTACAAATATGAATATTTAGATGAACATGATGGATGGATATACTGATGCTGACACAATATCATATTTTCTTCTCAAATCATTCATTAATTTATTCAACAAATTTGCATCAAAAGTCTTCTATGTAGGCCCTAGGCTAGGTCCTGGGAATAAAGGGGTAAAAAGAAATACACACTGACCTTGGAGTTTATATTCTAGTGAAGAGACCAGCATTTAATGAAAAAAATAATAATAATGACTATGATCAAAACTATGCAAGAAAGCTGTTATGAGAGCCCCTAGCGGGAGCTGTGACCGAATCAGCGTTAGCTTCTTAGAAGTTTTGACACAGGAGCTAACATTTCAAAGTGTATGAGTTAACTAAGCATAAAAAGAAACTAAGTTAACTAAGTGAAGAAATAAACAGCATGTGCAAATACTTGAGGCAAAATAAAGCACAGTAATTACTAAGAACTGGATGTTCATCTAGAGAAGAAAGATCTGGTAGGAATGTGGTAAATGATGGAGGCTGGAGAGGTACAGTGAAGCCAGCTCACGCAGCACCTTGTAGGGTATGTTCAAATTGATCTTTATTTTGCAATCAAGCCATAATCCATTGAAATTCCACTATAACTTTGGTTATAAGCAAGCTCTTTGGATCCCAAAGTACATACAATTTAACTAGAGAATGCAACAACCTTGGTAGAATAAGACTAGGATGACAGCCCATCAGAGACCTACTACTCTGCTTGTGTGGGCATGTATCTTGATAGTTCACAATCATTAAGAGCATCTAATTCTAACTCCTTTGTGCAACTCTAACGTCTATAAATGAAAAATAAGTGAAGGTGCTAGAGAAACACATGTTCCTCTTCACATTCTTGCAATGAATCTATTTTCTTCAACATGCTCAAAACTTTCATTAATTATTTGCTACAGTTACATAGATCCTAGTTTTACTTCAGAAATTAAGCCCCATAGTGTTACTTTTCTAAACTTTACATACATATGCTATTATTTTCTAAATCAATTATCAAAGGAAGACAAAAATATATTTATGCAGAAAATTTATTTTATGTGCTGTCATGATTTCATCATATTTAAATAGAGAAAGAAACAAGAGATAAAGTTTGAGTAAAACGTGATTTGCCAATATTTGTAGATTGTGCAGTTCAGCATACATTACTACAAGAATATAGATTGGTTATAGAATGAAAAACCAGTGAGATTCTTTAACAAGGGTGGAGGCTAGACTATGACTAAAATAAACATTTGCTTTATTTTCTTTGCTCAAAAAAGTGAAATATATTCAACACTATGTATTTCCCATTTTTGCCTGAGGTACAAAGGAAAAAAGCATGAAAGGCCCGAACTGAGGGTTCAGCTGCAGTAATCTACGTCTCTTGTGGGACTGAGAGCATTTTACTCCCTCCATTTCTTTAATGACCCTATTCACTGTTTACACCAATCTTATGTTTCATTGTGTGAACCTCCAAGACCATCCAAATGACATTGGAAATTACAGAGAAAACATAAACATAAAATAAAGGCATATTTTATAAGACTTAGAGACTATGAAAAATATCTAAAGGAAAGAAACTTGCCTAGCTGTGCTGTCATCATGACTCGGACTGAATCACAAAAGTTGTAAATTATACGTATAACTCGACGAGTGGAAAGATCCAGGAGTAAAATATGGCCTCCTCCAGTTCCTATCCAGAGAGCAGTGTTCTTCTGAAGGCAGAGAGTTTTCACCCGCCCAGAATAAGACATTTTGTGTTTTGCTTCCTTGTTTACTTTTACCAACTCCCTAGAACCAAAAGAAAGTAAAAATTAATAATTTTACCACCAATTAAGAGATAAAATGCAATTTACATATTACAAATAACATTTTAATTTATGAAAACATGACACTACACATTATGCATGATTAAAATTATGCAAAGCAAATTTTGCTAAATACAGAATGCCAAAGAGCCACATTTCTTTACTTGAAACATAAATTATCAAAGATAAAAACAGCCCTTCATTTTCAAGAAATTATGAAATGAAGATGGATATAATTTTTATAAATACCAAAGCTATCTAATTCAGTAAAAATAGCATACATGTACCCAGTATAAACAAAAAAAAAAGGTTAGATTCAAAAGCTTTACATGAAGTCTCAATGTTAACAAAGGAACATAAAATTATAGTCATTCACATGTAAAAGGCATCAACACAAACCACTGGATTTTTTCCCAGAACCAAAGAATACTCTAATTCACGACAAAAATGAAGTGTTCAGAAATAAAAGAATCCTAATCATTTTGGTACTTCAGGAAGTAAGGGACCCTTTATCAAGGAGACCTGCTGAACATAAACTGTGAGCCCTTCTCACAACACGGAGAAAAATTGTCAGATGAATCTAAGAAAGAAAACTTTGAAGTTTCCTTTTACAGATACAGAGTACAATCTAAAATGTTCTCTAGAGGATCATAAATCTATATGATAAAATCAAAACAAAGTAAAAATATAAACTGGTTAGTAAAGAAGCTTGGCAATGGTCCTGTTTCTCAGCACCCGCACAGAAAGACTGTGCTTGCTATAAACTTGTCACTCACAGGCTGCATCAGACGAAGCACCATGCTCACATTCTGGGATCTTGATCCCCACTCCTGAGTTAATGGATTGGTCAGTCCAGTGCATTTCCCACATGCTCGTCTATTATTTTGTTAGTTTTTTTCTTTAGAGGAGAAAATTCTGGGGTCCATAATTTAATTATAAATAGTAATTTGACACTGTGACACTCAACAGTCAGCAGAGACTCCAGTGTACTCATTTTCAATAATGTACTATTTTTCACTCGAGAACATTCTTTAGAATACCATGAAAAAACTATGTATTTTATGCTCTTATTCTTCTATTTTCCCAAAATGAAATTTTCCCGATATGAAAAGATGGTGATGAGAAGCATTAAACTTTTTTTTTCTGCATTCTTAAAATATTCTCTATTAGAGACAGAAAGGAAGAAAAATCCTTCCTCTGCGGCACATGAAGTACAAAGACAACTCTTACAGAAGAAAATTAAAAACTGAGGAATTTACCTTAAAAAGTGCACACAGTCTATTAGTTCGCAGAGTTTTTCAGTTTTCTTATCCCACACTTCCACAACAGGGCTATTTTTCTTAGCAACATAGAGAGCGGTGTCTACCACCACTGCTATGATGTTGGAATCACTGAAAGCTGCATAAGAAAATCTACACAGAAAAAAAAATAGAATGGCATTACTATTTGTTTTCTTCTTAAAATTTATATATATAATACAACCTTACATTAGTTCTTAATTCATGTAAAAATTAACACTATTTTGAAAACTAAAACCATTCTGAATTGAATATATAACATGCTTTGGTACTTTACTTACTTTGGGTTACTTTATATTAATTTTTCTTGATAATATAGATTAGGACCAATGTTTACTTTGGTCTTAGTTTTAGTTCCAATTCTATGTGGCTCTTTGCAGAATTTTATACTACATCTAAATTTCTGAAGGAAATATTATACTATCTGTAACTTTTAATGTTGTTGCAAAACGTTGTTTCATAAATGCTCAGAAAACTAAGCCTTTTACACCTAGAGTTATAAAATGTAAAATGTTAAAATAAAATTTAGTTGCAGAGTCTTCAAATTTTAAAACAAGGGATATCTTTGCAGTTAAGCCAGCCAAATTATAGGAACAGTCAAATTATAGGAAAGAAGAATCCACATCATCTAAACATAAACAGAAAGTAAAATATTTGCCATTTTCCCCTTTTAAAAATAAAGAAAAATTACAAACACCTTAAAATATCTTTCTTTCAACCATTTCAGAAATGGTTGAAAATGCTCAGAAAACTGTTAGCTTTTTACATCTAGAGTTATAAACTACAAAATGTTGAAATAAAATTTAGTTGCAGTGTCTTCAAATTTTAAAGCAAGGGATATCTTTGCAGATAAGCCAGTCAAATTATAGGAAAGAAGAATCCACATCATCCAAATATAAACAGAAAGTAAGTATTTGCCATTTTCCCCTTTTAAACATAAAGAAAAATTACAAACACCTTAAAATATCTTTCTTTCAACCTAAGACATCTGACATTGTAAATATTTCACAAACAGATTGGCTACCATAAGCCACATTAGCACGGCAAACTCCTACTTGGCCTTTGAGGATTAACTTAAATGTCAGTTTCTCTGGATTTCTTCCCTGACCTATGAAAATAGACCAACCAGTCCCTTTTCCCCACTTGTGTCACCGTTATATTATAGACCTTATTAAATATAACATCGTCTTTATTAGTGCATCCCTCACACTAGATTATGAGTGTCATTTCAAAAGGATGAGGACAATATATTTTCTACTAGCCCTCATCCAGTAAAGAGTTGCACAAATAAGCACCTCTGATATACCAAGAAGTCTGTTAAAGTGCGGGGATAGAAGAATTCACTACAGTATGGATGAACAACCAGGACTAAGTAAAAATAGTCAAAATTGCAATTATCAGATAGACAACATGAAAAGACCATAAGGATTTAACCATCATTAGTACATCCTACAGTAGTTTTTTTTTGCCTCCCCCTTTTCTTTCTTTTCTGGAAGGAGAGATAAAAATATGATGTGTTGTCAGACAGCCATTACATTTTAGGTAATTCCTTCCTGGATATTTGCTGTATTTAATAGAAAATAGTTCCAATTAGGACAAAGTTTTGCATGGAATTTTCGTATTTTGTAAAATACCTTTGTGTGTTCTCTTGTTTGATCCTTAATGAAAACACATAAAATATGATACATCTCAATTTGTTGTTGTTGTTTTATATGGAGTCTCACTCTGTTGCCTACGCTGGAGTTCAGTGGCACCATCTCAGCTTACTGCAATCTCTGCCTTTCGGGTTCAAGTGATTCTTCTGCCTCAGGCTCCTGAGCAGCTGGGACTACAGGCATATGCCACCATGCCTGCCTAATTTTTGTATTTTTAGGAGAGACAGAGTTTTATCATATTGGCCAGGTTGGTCTCCAACTCCTGAGCTTGCGATCTGCCCCTCTCGACTGCCCAAAGTGCTGGGATTACAGGCGTGAGCCACTGCACCTGGCCATCTCAACGTTTTTAAATACGTACAAATGGTAAATAATTAGCTCAAGGTCCCATGAATAATATCATGCTTGCCAACCTAGGGCTAAAAACGTGGCAGATCTAGAACTCCAAAACTCCTGTGGAGTCTTCTGGCTTCTAAGGCAGTCATCTTTCATTATATAATATGCCTCTGTCAGTGTGCATTGATGACGATGAGGGTACTGATGATGAAGCAGCCCCTGATTAGTGATGTGATGTCTGTTTCATGAGGAGGAGATGAAGGCAACAGGAGATACTTGTTCAGAAAAGAGTTAATATTTATATCTAGGTGTTTATGCAATTTTGTCCCAATTTCTTTTGGGAGATGGACATCTTTGAGAGCCTGACATTTATGGATGGTCTCTAGTAAAGTGTCTATGCTCCAAATCTTATATGGAACTTGAAGGAGTTAATTAATATCCATGATTCCATAAAATGTGCTATGAAATAAAATAAATAAATTGGATGCCATTTCTTTTTAATGGTTTTCTGGCTTGTATAATTAGGTTAAAGTGGAAATGATAGGGTAAGGAGCAGTGATTGAAAAACTACCTATCGATTACTATGCTCACTTCCTGGCTTGTGAGTTCAGTTGGATTCCAAGCCTCAGCGTCACCCACTATACCCTTGAAACAAACCTGCCCATGTACCCCTGGAATCTAAAATAAAAGTTGAAAAGGAAAAATTTAAAAAATGAAATATATTTTTACTTTCATTTTTTAAAAAGTGGGTATTACAGAAGGAGAATGAATTGATCCAAATATTAACCACATACTAGCAAACTGATTAGTAATGTGATGTCTACGTAAACAAGATAGAAATAAAAATCCTCATTCATGGGAACTTCTAATATACTGCAATCTTCACTATATCTTAACCTTGAATACACTTTAAAATCACTGATAACCTGAAAAAACAAAAATGGAAATCTGATCCCCATCCCAGGCTTAACTAGTCTGATTTAATTGGTCTGAGGTCGGGCCCAGGTATCATATTATTTTCAGCTACCTAGTGGTTTCTAAATGCACAACGAATGTTGAAAACCACTAGATTTGGCAGTATTAAGAAACTACTTTTTAAAAAATACAATTATAAAAATATAATAGCTATTGTGAAGGGAAACAATAGATGCAATGGAAGCACAAAGTCACTTAACCTGCCACTCAGAGCAAGAGGGATTTGGACTGAACTAGACAGGGGGCAAATAGTCATCCAGGCAAAGAGAAGACCACATTCAAAGGCTGGGGTTGGCAAGTAACAAGCTGTCTTAGAGATCTGAGGCAATTTCAGTTTGGGTAACCACAAATGGCAAAAAAGATGAAAATATGATTCTAGACAGGTAAGCAAGCATTGAAATGTAAAGGGCCTGGTAGGCTATCTTAAGGAATTTGGACTTCATATAAAGGTGCCACTAAAGGGTTTTAAGCAGGAGAATTGCATCACATTGACCTCTAGAAAGTTCCCTCTGTCTGCAATGCTGAAAATAGATTGAAGAGAGTATAATCAGAGAGTGAGAACTGGACGCTTTTGTTAATATGGCCATAGATGATGGATGGCAGTCTGGCCCATGGTAGCAACACTGAGAACAGTGACAAGTGCAAAGATTTGAAAGACAGGAGGATCAAGTGGATAAGGGTAGCAAAAAACAAAGCAGTCAAAGATTACTCCCAAGTGCCAATCTGGGCAATTAGATAGATATTGGGAAACTAGGCTATTCCCCAAGATAGGGATTTGTGACTCAAAGCTAATAATAATCATAACAATAGCTAACGTTTATTGACAGCTTACCAGGGGCTGGTGATTACATTAATTAAGCTCCATATATTAATTTTCTTATTTACTCCTCCAAACATCCCTTTGAGATAGAGTATATTACAATCCTCAGTAAGAGAGAACTGAAGATTTGAAAGGTTATTGCCCAACTTCACAAAACCAATAGATGGCAAAGCAATATCTAAACTATGATTTATGCTCTTATCCACCATCCTTTACTGCTTATCACTGAGGAATGTGATAAATAAGAACCAACTGCAAAGATTTGATTAAAATACAACTGAAAAAAAAATTGGAGGAGGTTTATATTAATATTTTATTTTATTCTTGTTTGAAATTGGTATCACTAACTTGATTGTGAGTAGATATGTGTATAATTATCAAATCTAGAAACAACTTTATTCTTGCTATCTTTCCTACAATCAATACTTCATGAAAAGTTGCATATGTAAAGTCCATGAATTTGGTAAAATACAGAGTTAACTGCCTTCCAACTTCATGTCTGCTTTGAGACACAGATAATAAAATTGCTAAAAAATTTAGATTGATAAATACTACTAAGACTACAATGGGTTTACATATTTTATCCCTAAAAGTAATCAGGCTGAGTGATTTTCTTAAATACTCCTCTGCTTTCTGGAATTTTCAAATTTGTTTATAATGAATGTTTAATTTGATAATAGAAAAATAAATTATGCATTTTAAAAGATCTTCCTTATGAATTATCAACAGTATTATTAATGATTAAAAGGAATACACATAAGTAAAATGATAAATTAGTTGTACAGATAGAAAATAACTTACAGTTGATTTGTCCTTGTCTCAATGAATTTCTGAATGGTGAAATCATTAGAAAAGGAGAAAATCTTTGTGCCACATCCTCCCCACATTATGTTTCTTTCCATTGAATTTGTGGATTCACTCAAACACATTAATGGAGTGCTGACATTTCCTATATTTAGTATCTTCAAAGGAGCAGCTCCTTTAAGCTTTGCCAAAAAAAGAAAACATCCTGAGCAAATAGAGTATCCATAGAATAAAACACTATAAAATCTGTGCTTTCAAGAAACTACTTTCCATCTTAAATGATTAGAGATATTAAAATTAAAATTCAAAAACCTAAAGATTCCATCAAGAAATGTAGTTCTGATAAATGAGTACAATAAAGGATTCAAAACCAACATATAGAAATTAGTAGCATATCTATACAGCAATAACAAACTAGACGAAAAATCAAGAAAGCGATTCCATTTAAAGTAGCTACAAAAAGTAATAAAATACCTAGGAATAATTTAATCAAGATGATGAACAATCTCTACAAGGAAACCTGCAAAACATGAAAGAAATTGAAGAGGACACAAACGAATGCAAAGATATCCATGCTCACAGATTGGAAGAATTAATATTGTTAAAATGACCGTACTACCCAAAGCAATCTACAGATTCAATGACATTCCTATGAAAAATCCAATGATACTTCTCACAGAAATAGAAAAAAAATTCTAAAATTTGAAAGGAACTAAAAAGAGGCAAAATAGCCAAAACAATTCTGAGCAAAAAGAACAAAGCTGGAGGCATCACACTACCTGATTTGAAAATATATTGCAAGGTTAGAGTAACCAAAACAGCACATTATTGGCAAAAACACAGATACATAGACCAATGGAGTAGAATAGAGGACCCAGAAATAAACCTAAATATTTAGAGCCAACTGATTTTCAACAAAGGCATCAAAAATATACATGGGAAAAAGAAAACTGCCTTCAATAAATTGTGCTGGAAAAGCTGGATATCTGGTATGCAGAAGAATGAAACTAGACCCTTCTCTCTCACCATTTACAAAAATCAACTCAAGATGGATTAAAGACTTAAATGTAAGGCCAGAAGCTATGAAACTATTAGAAGAAAACAGGGGGAACATTTCAGAACACTGGTCTAGACAAAGATTTTATGGTTAAGACCCCAAAAGCACAGGAAATAAAAACAAAAATAGTGAAATGGGACTGTAATAAGCTAAAACCTTTCTGTACAACAAAGGAAACTATAAACACTATAGAAACAATCCATTGAATGGGAGGAAATATTTGCAAACTATTCACCCAGAATATATAAGAAACTAGAAAAAGCAACTCAACAGGAAAAAAAAATTCCATTGAAAAGCAGGCCAAGTGCCAGAGGCAGTCGCTCATGCCTGTAATCCCAACGCTTTGAGAAGCTGAGGTGGAAGGACTGCTTGAGCCCAGCAGTTTGAGATCAGTGTGGGCAACATAATGGGGCCCCATCTCTACAAAAAAAAAATAAATAAATAGCCAGGTGTGGTGGCACATGCCTGTAGTTCTAGCTAGTCATAAAGCTGATGTCGGAGGGTCACTTGAGCGCAGAAGGCTGCAGTGGGCTATGATCATGCCACTACACTCCAGCCTGGGTGACAGAGTGAGAGCCTGTCTTAAAGCAAACAAAACAAAACAAAACAAAAAGTTGTCAAAGGATCTAAATAGACATTTCCAAAAGAAGACATACTAATGGCCAATGGATATATGAAAAAAATGCTGAACATTAACTAATCATCAGTAAAAGTGCCAATGACAACCACAATGAGATCTTTTTAGCCCAATTAGAATGGCTAGTATAAAGAAGACAAAAAAACGACATGCTGGCAAGGATGCGGAAAAAGGGAAATGCTCATATGCTGTTGGTGGGTATGTAAATTAGTATAGCCACTATAGAAAACAGAATGGTGAATTCTCAAAAAAACTAAAAATAGAACTAGCATACAATCCAGGCATGTCACTACTGACGTTAATCTAAAAGAAAGGGAAATTGGTATATCAAAGAGATTCCTATATCCCCATGTTTATTGCAGCACTATTCACAATACTAATAATTGGAGTCAACCTAAGTGCCCATTAATGAATGACTGCATAAAGAAAATGTGTGTATTTACATAACGGAATACTTTGACTATAAAAAGGAATGAAATCATGTCATATACAGCAACATGGATGGAACTGGAGGTCATTATATTAAGTGAAATAAGGCAAGCACAGAAAGACAAATATCACGTGTACTCATTCATATGTGGGAGCTAAAAAAGTTGATCTCATGGAGGTAGAGAGTAGAATGATAGTTACCAGAGGCTTGGAAGGATATGGGTGTGTGGGAGAAGGGGAGGATGAGTAGAGGCTGGTTAATGGGTACAAACATACAGTTAGATAGGAGGAATAAGTTCTAATGTTCAATAGTACAATAAAGTCGCTACAGTTAAAAACATTTCAAAATAACTAGAAGACTTGAAATGTTCTCAACACATAGAAATCAATGCTTAAGGTGATGAATATCCTAAATACCCTGACTTGATCATTACACATTCTATGCATATAACATATCACATGTACCCCATAAATAGGTACAAATATTATGTATCAAGAAAAATTTTAAGTCATATTCAAAATATTATTGTTCCATTCATGTAAAAATTAAATAGAAATAACCTAAGGATTATATTCTACTTCCCTGTCTCTCATCAAATAATAAGCTTTTTGGTAATTGGAGTATGAATGAGTAGGAAGTTGAGTCAATAGATGGAACCAAAGATGAACAGATGGATAGAGGAATAATGCTTTAATGACTAAATAAGAATCTGAAGAACAGAAAACTACATTATTTCTTCAATACTTAAGAAAAAATTAATGTCAAACCATATTTAAAACTTAAGTATTTTGTTTTTTCCATAGTATATTTATAAGGAATTATCTTATTTGCCTCAGTTAAGTACAAATAGAATTATTTCCATTTTTAACATTATCAACCAGATGTCATTTAACATTTATTCTTATAAAATATACAGTCAATCAGCAAGTATTTCAGAGGATCTACTGTCTGCAAGACTTTCTGAAGCAATACAAATATAAGTATAATGTATGATTCTTGCTCTCATGGAGTTTATAATTCCATAAAGAGGGGGATGAGATACATATAAAACCAAAGACTTAAAACAAATTTAGATGTAGCATACATTCAATATTTACCTTAATTGTCTTATCTTCAAAAATTGCTATATTTCCATCAGCAGTTCCAACCAAAAGAAAAATTTTTTGTTTGCTAAAAGGAAAAATGTTGAAAGTGTTACAAAAAGAACATGTGCATTGATTAAAATGGCCTTAATATTCTCCTCAGCTTTACTAAACTTTAGATTTCTCTCAATTATGAATTCCTAACCTCCCTTTTCTTATTTACTTTAGAATATTTGCAATTATAAATTCTTTCTCTGTGCCTTTTCCCAGACTCTTTCTAGTTTTATACCCCAGAAATGTCTTTCTCAAGGACCTGGGAGCCAACCCTTTGAATTGTAATCATCAGCAAAGATAGCGTCACTAACCCCCAGTGGGAGAATAGGAGCCTACCTTCTAGAAGGGACAATTAGCAAACACAGATGGACTAATCACAATGACAACTCCCCCAACTTCCTCTCCACAAGGTTCTCCAATACTTTTCCATTAGCTCACCCCGTGCTTAAAAGTCTCCCGCCTTTTGTTTCAGTGTAGTTTAGTTCAATCTGCTCTCTCTTCCTTGTTGTGATAGCTTGAATAACGTCTTCTTTACCCAATTCCATCTTCTGAAAGTTTTCTTTGACCATATTCAAATAATTTCAACTCTCAAATTGCCAGTGGAGTTGATATTTCAGATGCCAAAAACAGGCTTCATGTTTTTCTAATACTTTTTTTTTCCAATATTAGCTTAAACCAGAGAAGTATATGGGGTATAATCTTAATGCCTCCTGGAAATCATCCTGCCCCAAATATTACAGACACCAGCCTATGACTCACACCTGAAATTTTGCTATGTAGACATATTTCTTTGCGACAAGAACCCTGCAACTGATGAGATCTAAGTGATTTTCACCTATTAAGAATTTATTAATTCATTTATTTATTTTTTTTTCAATTTGGTAGTTAGATAACTGGTTTGTGTAAGCCTGGCACACAATAGGCTATAAATATATATTCAAAGAATCAATGAATGAGAATTTATCCTTGAAGAGACCCTATAAAGATGCATTGGTCTGAGGAGAAGTAAAGAGATAGAGTCACATTGAGGTAATACCAGGAGCAGGGCTGTTAGGCCTGAAAAAATGGTTGATTTATTTTATAACAGTGTCCACTAGATCTGTATTCAGAAAAATAACAAATATCTTTGTGACCTTCCACAATTCCCTTTAATATATGCAAACCAATGAAAACAGGTTAAAAGTTAATGATCTTTCCTGATGCAATAACAATTCTACACACAATTAAGTCATTTAAAAGGTCTGCAATTTCTCCCAATGATCAAATTCACTATCATACCTTTGCTTTGGAAAGGAATTGCAATACAAACAAGTGATGGAATCAGTCATCTTTTCTAGGGTATGTCTCTTTTTCTCATCTTCAGTATTGATGACCAGGAGAGTACCGGACTGTGTCCCAGACACAATCCAGCTTTCCTTTTCAGCAGGAAGATGTACCAAGGCTAAGCATAATATTCTGCTATCAGCAACTTCCTGTTAAGAAAAGAAAATATAAGGATTTGATTTAAGCTTAAGCAACTAGAACGTGTACAGAATAAAAGGTTCTGTTATCAACATATTCTTTTTGCTTTCTTGCATTTACTTTTTAAAACAATGCCAATTTTATATTTAATTTTCAACAATAAATGAGTTAATTGGCAAACAAGTTTTACCTATCAAAAATATATCTGAAACCAAAATTAAAAATTATTTTTCTGTGTCAATTCTCATTCCTTCAAACCATATGAGAAGACTGTTTAACCTCAGAACTAATATTGAGGCACAATATTTATCTGCAGGCAACAGTCAAAATATTAGGTTGTTTTTTAAGTCTAGAAATTTATCTTATATTTTCCAATACAATGTATTGATCCACTTGTAGGAGCCATGCCCAGGTCTTCTTTATCCATCAAGTATGCCATCCCCTGGTTGCCCTGAGTGTTGACTACTACAGATCACAGCCGTGCTCTTCACCATAGAATGCCCTCAGATGACAGGAGCCAGCTTGCTCAGAAATGCCTTGCAAGTTATACCACCCCCACCTCCCAGCAGATTGCAGTCAATGACTGACTGATATGTGAGAATGAAAGACTGGCCCCCTTGCCTCGCAGTGGGAAAATTCTGTGCTACTGTTCACACCCCAGAGCTCCTTGTGGCAGAGACTGAGGTTAGACCTCCTCAGAAACCACATTTCTGCTGAGCTTCTTCATCTGCCATTTCTGGTTTCCTTTACTTCCCTCTAAGAATCTCTTTCCTTAAATCACTTGTGCAAGATAACCCATCTCACGCCCTGTTTCTGGGGATCCTGAGATAAGACATATGCTGTGATTCTAAAGCAAAACACACTTTGAATACTCTTGTTCTAACAGAAAGTTAATTGAATAATACTCCTACATTGGCTCTTATTTAATTTCTTCCTAATTAACTTTCTAACTGGTATATGCTTTAAATTATGAAAGATTTAAAAAGCATTCGGATTTACCTCAGAAGTGTATTCTTCAGTATTTAAATCTAGAAATGAGAGCTGTCCTCTGTTGGTGTGCCCACAGCCCAGCCAAATGCTTGCATTCCTGCTGTTGTGATGTGTAGCAACCATGCATTCAACAATAACGTTTTTAGGTAATAAAATGTGTCTCATCAGACAGGTTAACTCAGCTGAATTCAAAATGTCAAAGACCTGAGAAATAACAACAGTACTTATCAAGTTAATTCATTTCCCTCAAAAAATAAAAAATATAGATCTAAACATTATAACTCTATCAAGCAAAACCCAAAACTTTTAAACTGGAACCCACCTAGATCATCAAGAGTAGTAATCTAAACTACAGATCAAATTACATGAAACACAAAATACGTATTTTTAAACTGTATTTGATACTCTTCTGTATGTGTGGGGTTTTTTTTTAACTTGAAAAGAAAATCTCAAGTGTCAAACAGGATTTGGGCAGAGTCAGGAGGTAGTCTACATTCAATTTTTTTATTGCAGAGCCACCGCAAGTGAGAGAAAAACCCTTGGGCCAACAATTTAGTTGTGCTTCTACTTGCTAAAAGGAACAGGAATTTCTGGTTGGGCTCAGTCCCAGCACTTTGGAAGGCCCAGGCGGGCTTATCACCAGGTCAGAAGATTAAGATCATCCTGGCTAACACAGTGAAACACTGTCTCTACTAAAAATACAAAGTCTTAGCTGAGCGCAGTGGCCCGCACCTGTAGTCCCAGCTACTCAGGAGGCTAAGGCAGAAGAATGGCTTGAACCTGGGAGGCGGAGGTTGCAGTGAGCCGAGATCCCACCACTGCACTCCAGCCTGGGTGACGGAGTGCAACTCCCTCTCAAAAAAAATAAATAAAATAAAAAGGAACAGGTATTTCAGTCTTTGATAACAACATTTAGAAGTCATCCCTAGATTCTGTTTTTATTCTTGTCCTTCAAACACTAATCATCTGGAGAGATAGTGTTGAAGCACTGTAAGAAAACAGAACCAGAACTCAGGAAACTGGGATTACAGTTGTGACATGCAACTTGCCTGTCACTCAGGAGACAACAAGAAAGCCCAATACTCTCTCTGTCTAAGCTTTTTAATACTGTCATGTATATATACTTATGTGTTCTGTAATATATAGGTGAAATATAATGGAAAATTTAAAAAAGTAAAATAAGTTATGAATAAATGTTTACCATAGACATAAATATAAAAGTTCATATGACTAAATTAAAAAACAGGCCAAGAAGAAAAGAAAGTTATGTAATGTTTGATAAAGTCATTATAGTTGTACTTGACTATTTTTGATCAGAAAATCGAAAGAGCTCACAACATAAAGATAACCTACATTTATTAAAATGTGTATCAGTGTAAAACATCACAAGAGTTCTCTTTCAGATAATATGGTGGAAGAGGTTACTTGGGCTAATCGTCCAACTAAAAAGAATTTAAAATGCTAAATAAATTTTTTTAAAACAATGTAATAAAAACATTGAATAGCTCACACTATAAGGAATTATCAAGCCAAAACCACCGTGAGAGACAGAAACCAGAGAGGTCAATTGACCCCTAACACCAAACTTGCCCTGAAGACATTTGCCTGCCAAAACAAAGTGAGACAAGGTTAATATATAGTCTTGGATGCTTTGTGAGACCCATGGGAGAGATGTTAAAGTCTAAGGCCTTCCCAAGATAGACAGTCTTAGTAATGGGACTGTACCCATAAAGCTAAGATCCCAAAGGATTACATATCCAGCATAAACAAGAAGCAGAAGTCAACTTGTCCACATTTACACCTTCACTGGTATATAAGGAAAGTTGCTTTGGGGTTGTGCAAGGAAAGGGGGAGAAGGAGCCAAAGGCTGCTGAAAAACTGCTATTTACAAGTTTGAGGACAATAAAATTCATAGACCAGAGTTATATCAACGGGGCAGTTGGAAAAAAAAAATCTCAAGCCATGAATTGCATTTAAAGCAATCTGCAGCAAGAAAAATCAAGCAAAAGCTATACAATGCCTATATGTAATATTATAAAACTTTATTGAAAGCCAGTTGACCGCTGTCTTTAGGAGTCAACTGACCTCTTGGTTTCTGTCTTTCACGGTGATTTTGGCCTGATAATTACTCAAGAAGACCTAAGTAAACAGAGATAATTTATACCATTCAAGGGTAGAAAGACTTGGCCAGGTGCAGTGGCTTCTGCCTATAATCCCAGCACTTTGGGAGGCCTATGTGGGAGGATGGCTTGAGGCCAGGAGTTCAAGACCAGCCTGGGCAACATAGTGAGATCCTTTATTTACAAAAAAAAAATAAAGGAAAAGTTAACCAGGCTTGGTGGTACACAATTGGCTGAGGGAGGCTGAGGTGACAAGATTGCTTGAAACCAGGAGGCCAAAGCTGCACTGTACTCTGATCCTGCCACTGCACTATAGCCTGAGTGACAGAACAAGAGTCTGTCTCAAAAACAACAACAACAAAAAATACAAAGACTTAATACCATAAGGATATTCTCTCAGATTGTCTACCTATTCAATGCGAGGCCAATCCAAAGGACTATATGGCTTTTCATAAGATTTGACAGCATGATTCTAAATTTTATATAGAAAAACTAAGCCTAAGATTAATTAAGATATTCCTAGATGAGAGAAATAAATGGGGAGAGGAGATCATTATCAAGCTACAGAAATTAAGACAGGGTCATACTGGAAGAAGAATAAATAAGTTGATTAGTAAAAGACGGTGTACATGTAGATATGCGCATGTATCTTTATTTAATACATTACACAAGGGACACAGTAGATCAATAGGACAAAAGGGAAGAAACTAGTAAATTAAGCTGAAAAAAATGATTTTTCACCTAAAAAGAAAAAAGATATAAAAACAGACAGACATGAGGGATCCAAGATGGCCGATTAGGAGCAGCTCAGGATTGCAGCTCCCAGTAAAAGTGCAGAGGGTGAGTGAATGCCACATTTCCAGATGGATTTTTATTGCCCACAGACCAGGAGATTCCCAGGCGGAGGGGCCCCATGGGTCGCCAGCGTGGCTAGTTTGGCCCGTGCGGCTGCTGGGCGGCTGTTTTGGTCGGCGCAGCTGTTTTGCCGGCGCCCTGGCGCAGTGGTTCTCCATACAAAATACACGGGTCCGGGTGCCATTTTAGCTGGTGATTGGAGCTCCAGGAAGGCAGAGTAACCTATTCATCTGATTAAAAAGAGGACTGAAACAGGGAGCCAGGCCAGGAGATTCCTGGGCAAAAAAGCGCCAGGAATCTCAGCGCAGCTTTTTCAGCCAGCACAGCAGGTTGCCGCATGGGAAATCACACAGATCCCGGTGCCTTTTCAACAGGCGACTGGAACACCTGGAAGACAGTCGACCATTCAACTAAAAAAAAAAAGGGTCTGAGGCAAGTCGAAACCCTGAATAGACCAATAACAAGGTCTGAAGTTGAGGCAGCAATTAAGAGCCTACCACCCAAAAATGCCCAGGTCCAGACGGGTTCACAGCCGAATTCTACCAGATATAGAAAGAGGAGCTGGTACCATTGCTTCTGAAACTATTCCAAACAATCCAAAAACAGGGAATCCTTCCAAAATCATTTTATGAGATCAACATCATAAACAGAACCAAAGACAAAAACCACATGATTTCTCAATTGAGGCAGAGAAGGCCTTTGACAAAATTCAACAGCCCTTTATGCTAAAAACCCTCAATAAACTAGGTATTGACGGAACGTATCTCAAAATAATAAAAGCTATTTATGACAAACCAACAGCCAATATCATACTCAATGGGCCAAAACTGGAAGCATTCCCTTTGAAATCTGGCACTAGACAAGGAGGCCCTCTCTCACTACTCCTACTCAATATAGTACTGGAAGCTCTAGCCAGAGCAATCAGGCAAGAAAAAGAAATAAAGGGTATTCAAATAGGAAAGGAAGACGTCAAATTGTCTCTATTTGCAGACGACATGATTGTATATCTAGAAGACCCCACTGTCTCAGCCCAAAATCTCCTGAAACTGATAAGCAACTTCAGCAAAGTCTCAGGATACAAAATCAATGGGCAAAAATCCCAAGCATTCCTATACCCCAATAACAGACTTAAAGAGAGCCAAATCAAGAATGAACCGCCATTCACAATTGCTACAAAGATAATAAAATATCTAGGAATACAACGAACAAGGAATGTAAAGGACCTCTTCAAGGAGAACTACAAACCACTGCTCAACGAAATAAGAGAGGACACAAACAGATGGAAAAACTTTCCATGTTCATGGTTAGGAAGAATCAATATTGTGAAAATGGCAATACTGCCCAAAGTAATTTACAGATTCAATGCTATCCCCATCAAGCTACCAATGACCTTCTTAACAGAACTGGAAAAAACCACCTTAAACTTCATACTAGAACCAAAAGAGAGCCCGCACAGCCAAGTCAATTCTAAGCAGAAAGAACAAAGCAGGAGGCATCACACTACTGGACTTCAAACTATACTACAAGGCTACAGTAATCAAAACAGCATGGTACTGACAAATGAATATAGACAAATGGAACAGAACAGAGGCCTCGGAGGCAACACAACACATCTACAACCATCTGATATTTGACAAACCCGACAAAAACAAGCAATGGGGAAAAGATTCCCTGTTTAATAAATGGTGTTGGGAAAACTGGCTAGCCATGTGCAGAAAGCAAAAACTGGACCCCTTCCTGACACCTTACACTAAAATTAACTCCAGATGGATTAAAGACTTAAACATAAGACCTAACACCATAAAAACCCTTGAAGAAAATCTAGGCAAAACCATTCAGGACATAGGCATAGGCAAGGACTTCATGACCAAAACACCAAAAGCATTGGCAACAAAAGCTGAAATAGACAAATGGGACCTAATCAAACTCCACAGCTTCTGCACAGCAAAAGAAACAGTCATTAGAGTGAATCAGCAACCAACAGAATGGGAAAAAATTTTTGTAGCCTGCCCATCTGACAAAGGGCTGATACCCAGAATCTACAAAGAACTAAACAGATTTACAAGAAAAAAACAAACAAGCCCATTCAAAAGTGGGCAAAGGATATGATCAGACACTTTACAAAAGAAGCCATACATGAAGCCAACAAACATAATGAAAAATGCTCATCATCACTGGTCATTAGGGAAATGCAAATCAAAACAACATTGAGATACCATCTCACTCCAGTTAGAATGGTGATCATTAAAAAATCTGGAGACAACAGATGCTGGAGAGGATGTGGAGAAATAGGAACACTTTTACACTGTTGGTGGGAGTGTAAATTAGTTCAACCATTGTGGAAGACAGTGTGGCGATTCCTCAAGGACCTAGAAATAGAAATTCCATTTGACCCAGCGATCCCCTTACTGGGTATATACCCAAAGGATTATAATTCATTCTACTATAAAGACACATGCACACGAATGATCATTGCAGCACAGTTTACAATAGCAAAGACCTGTAACCAACCCAAATGCCCAACGATGATAGACAGGACAAGGAAAATGTGGCATATATACACCATGGAATATTATGCAACCATCAAAAACGATGAGTTTGTGTCCTTTGTAGGGACATGGATGAACCTGGAAACCATCATTCTCAGCAAACTGACACAAGGACAGAAAATCAAACACCACATGTTCTCACTCATAGGCAGGTGTTGAGCAATGAGAACACGTGGACACAGGGAAGGGAGCATCACACACTGGGGTCTGTTGGGGGGAAATGGGGGGGACAGTGGGGGTGGGGTATTGGGGAGCGATAGCATAGGGAGAAATGCCAGATGTAGGTGATGGGGAGGAAGTCAGCAAATCACACTGCCATGTGTGTACCTATGCAACAATCTTGCATGTTCTTCACATATACCCCAAAACCTAAAATGCAATAAAAAAATTAAATTTTTAAAAAAAGGACAGAGATACCATTTCTATCTTGAATAGAGAGAAAAATGTCAATTCCAATGGATTAAAAACTTGTCAAAAGAAAACTTTTAAAATGTTTGAAGAAATCATGGGTAAATATTTTTGTGTCTCTAAAAGAAAGATGGACCCTTTTAAACAGGACCAAAAAGTAATAACTTGAAAAAGGATTATTAAATTTATATATACTGAGATTAAGTAATTCTGTTCATTAACAGATACCCTACAGGAAATTTAAAAAGCCACCAGCTCAAAAAAGAAATTTGCAACATGTAAAATCAACAAAGGATTGGTATATTCTATATAAATTTTTTTCTCATTTGATTTGTAGGCAAATTATGCAATAAAAAATGTGCAAAATAATGAGCAGGCATCTCTAAGAGGAAACACCTATGATGTAATCAGAGAGAAGCATACAGGAAATGTGGGGTTTGGGCAATGTCCTTTTTTTGGCCTTGGATGGCGGGAATTAGAAGATTTCTCTTATAACTATTTTTAATTTTGTCTGTGTGTGTTTATTTATGTGTTTAAGTATATACATTTGAAGATTATATATATATACGTATATGCACATGTTCTGTACAAAATATTAAGAAATTTTACATAAGAATACCTGTGCAGAAGTAGGCCTTTCTTGAGGATTTTCTTTCAAACACTTTTTAATTAATTTCTCAACCATAGGCCATGGGACACAACCATATTCTTTAACTGGATCTAAAACATTCAAAAAAAAAATCATGCTAGCATACTAAATAAATCAGAACAGTTATATTTCCTCTCAATATTTATAAAAGGTCCAGACATTGCAGAGAAAAATATTCATCTCCATAATCCTATATTTATGTCAATTTACTTATCACAAAATTAAAGCTAATTTTGTGGACTTGATTTCTCCTAAGAGATAATGAAAAATATGTCTTGGGTTTTTTTTTTAATGAAACAAAAAGAGACCCAAATACCAATTTAATAAAATAATAGATTTTCTTTCCATACCTGCATTTCAAATAGACTTTGAAAACACTTTTTCTTATATAATGATTAGACTCCTGCTTTTTATTTTAACACTCAAAGTAGGCAAGCATTTAATCTTTATGTCCTCACAGGTGGTTTGTGCTCATTTGCTTTTTATAAGAGGCAGGTTATTCTACTGATAGATGCAGTATAGAGACCCCAATTTTTTTTAATGGAGTCTCACTCTGTTGCTCAGGCTGGAGTGCAGTGGCACAATCTCAGCTCACTGCAACCTCCACCTCCCAGATTCAAGCTATTCTTGTGCCCTAGCCTCCCTGGTAGTTGGGACTGTAGGCACATGCCACCACATCTGGCTAATTTTTGTATTTTCAGTAGAGATGGGGTTTCACTATGTTGGCCAGGCTGTTCTCCTGCTTCTGTCCTCAAGTGATCCACCTGCCTGGATCTCCCAAAGTGCTGGGATTACAGGCGTGAGACACTGTGCCTGGCAGATACCTGAACATTTTCACTAGAAAACTAATGAGTAAAATAAGGCAGATAACCTAGATTATATCTAAGCTTCATCCAATTTATAGTAAGTTTTCTTTTGCTAGGATCTTTAAAGTCACACATAAGAAAGATAAAGCTCTATGTCCTGTACATGGCATATCGTGTACACTCAAAAATATTTCCTAAATGAAAGAGAAAGCAGAAAATATGAGAAACAGGTAAATAAATTTAAAAGGGTATTTTGTAGTGAGAACCAAAGTAATGGTTAAGGGATGAATTAATTACAAGGTCCTCTAATTTCTTGAAAGCATGAGACAAACATTCCCAACGAGCTTTGATAACATTAAATATACATTTATTAATTCTTACTAAAAATTCTTATTATAGATCATTCAGTCTTTCATTCCTGCGTGTAAAAATTATTTCATGCCAGGAAAATGAAAACCTTCCAGGCTAATGAACACATAGTATTTATGAAAATTAAAAATCACCAAATGTAGAGTTCTAACAGCAAATTCCTTTTCTGAGTATGTTTCTAAATATAATACTAAACACACCGATATTAATTTGGGATTTTTAAAAAAGTCTAAAACACTACCTTTTTCAGGTTATTTTTATTCATATGTCACAGGATTTAAGAATATTTATGCATTAAACAAAAAAGATCAGCAGTTTAAGGAATTAAGCATATGACTACAATTAAATAAAAATTAAGCTGCTGATACTAAGAAAAAAAAAGTCTTCATTGCAGAGAAAACAGAACTTACCAGGTAATTTTCCTTGTATTGCTAATTCATCAAACTCATTTGGAAACTTCAAACCCTCCACTATTCTTCCTCCAGTTGTCAAAATGTCATAGAGTAGTAAACCAAATGAATAAACATCAGCCTGTTGGTTATAAATGACATTTCCTCTGGCAACTTCAGGTGCACGAAACCCTGAAAGCAAGCAGATAAAATAATAAATATGCCCAACATCAGGGCTCATACATCCAAGGAGGCATATACTTAGGCTATGTGCCAAAAAAGAGTCAGGAAGAGAGGTTCTAAACCGGGCTGTGTTATTTTTGTAACCAGATACTTTGGATCAAGTCAATTAATGGTCCTGTCTCAGAACATCTCATCCCACAAGGTAGACCTCAAAGGACAATAAAATTCTTCAATCTTTATTATAAGTATCTTCAATCTTTAATAAGATTACCTTGAAGGATAACAGGGATAAATATTCAATTGTAAGTTATGAAGTAGTATTTCATAATTAAGAAAGAAAGCTTACTAGGAAAACCTATATCATTTTCCTCATTCGTAATATTAACTATTTCCAGGACAGTGTTTTAAAAGGAGAGAAAAGCAGAAAGGAGATTTCTAAACTTCACTCCAACCCACTTTAACCTGACCAAAATTCTAACACTCTCATTATTTCCTGAGCTTGTTGCTCTCCTCTTTCTACCCAGTTAAAAATCAATAACTAAAAACTAAAACTAAAACAAATAAAAGGCTTTTTTCTTGGATTCATGTCTGAAATTCTTTTAAAAGGGAATACATCTTTTATTCCAAAAGAGAGATAAATTACTTTTAAATTCTTCATAAAAATACTGATTTCAATATTTGTGATAATAAATCTATAAACAATCTAAAGAAATCCAATCACAAAGGGAAATAGTTAAACAATGTATGCCATGCAGTAACTGAAAGATCACTTTTTAAGATGATATGCTATGGCATAAATGAAAAGAAAATGTAGGATATAATCCTGGACAGAAAGTAATCAACATGTGGGAAAAAATCAACTGAAATTTATTTTAGCTGTGATAATGGTATCATGATTATTTAAGTAAACACCCTTATTCCAAATAAATACTATGTTCAGAGATTGTGTGGCACGAAGTCTACAACTTAATTTCGAGGATTCCTTCATATGCAAAGATAGTAAGAAAGAACAAGTAAGGCAAAAAGTAAATAATCAATGAATTTATGTGTAGGGTATTTGAGTGTATATTTTATTACTCTTTCTTTTCTTTCTTTTTTTTTTTTTTTTTTTTGAGATGGAGATCTCGCTTTGTCACCCAGGCTGGAGTGCAATTGGGTGATCTTGGCTCACTGCAACCTCCTCCTCCCAGGTTCAAGTGATTATCCTACCACAGTCTCCAGAATAGCTGGAATTTTAGGCATCCACTACCACACTCAGCTAATTTTTCTGTTTTTCGTAGAGACCAGGTTTCACCATATTGGCCAAGCTGGTCTTGAACTCCTAACCTCAAGTGATCCATCCCCCTTGACCTCCCAAAGTACTGGAAATACAGGCATGAGCCACCAAATCTGGCCTGTACTGCTCTTTCAACTCTTCTTTAGGCTTAAACATTTTCAAAATAAAAAGTTGATGGGAATGTATACAGGTATTGATCGACTTACGACCTATGCAACTTACGACCATTTGACTTTATGACCACAATCGCTAGCCACGACTGCTCCACATCTGGCAGCGCAAACGTTGCCCAGCTGGGCGTACGACAGTGCAGACCAGCTTCCGGCAGCACTACCATCTCCACGTACACCATTTCAACTGTACATATAGCCTACTCAACTTACGACCAAATCGTGTTATGACCGGTCCACGGTCCCGACCATGGTCGTAAGTCGAGCACTAGCTATATAATTAAAGCCTAGGAAGAAATACATCCCAATATAATTATTTCATTTGCTAAAATTACCTGTACATTTAATCTTCCTTTTTATTTCCACCTTTTTTATAATGAAATTATTGATTGTTAGGGTAATTTAAATATGCGGCCAGAAAAATCTAACAAGGTATGAATTCATAGCCTTCAAGGAGTAAATGACTGAATGTGTAAACAGTTCTATTTGACAGAGAGACTACCAGCAAAAGATGGAGCTCAGCAGTCCTCACCATGCTGGAAAAGCATGAAGAGTTGGAAGGATAGAGACATCGAATTTGAGCATGATAACCTTTACTACACTAACTGATAACATTCCCTCACATATATGCATGTGAATATATTGAATATATGGTAATATAATTAATATATATTAATATAATTACATATAATTATCATGTAAATAGGCATAATTTACATACTCTATTAAGTCACAGATACAGTATTTCAGACCTAATTATACATTTCTTTAGAACATTGGCATTTTCCTATATAATCATAATATCATTCTCACAACCTAAGTTAAAGAATTGTGTAAGTAATTAAGATAATTCTAAAACATATCCCTAATAAAGTGTACCTGTGACATAATGTAAACAAATCACAATAGCTCCTAATTCACATCTCTCTACTATTTTACAGATATCTTATTGAGCATTTCATTTGATATGCACACGAATCATCTGTGGTAGACAGATAAGGACTTTCTACTTTACAAATGACATAATCCTTTCAGAAATGTATGTATTTTCCTAAGGCTACACAGATAATGAATAGCAAAGTCAAGAGTACTTAAAAATAATGAGCTACCCACACATTCACTAGTTCATTAACAACCTTTATGCTTGCCTTCTTAGAATGTGAAAGAGATTTGGGAGGCTTATTTAAATTTTAACCAGTTATTTATTATTCATTGGGCAAATTTATTAGGTATCTATTATATCAAGGTACTATTTAAAAACTATTAAAATGTTCAGCATATTTTTTTCTTGATAAACATACTGTTAGAATTTGGAATCACAGGCTTTTAAAGCAGGAAAAGACTCTAGGGGTCATTTGTCTACTTCTAAATTCTCATCCAGTGCACACATCCATTTGCAATAGTTTTTACCACTCTAGGCAACAATCTGAAGATCGTAGAGCTGTGCAGAAGGCTGGAATTTTTTTCACAGTGAGTCAGAGAGCTCTGAGAAAGGTAATTGTGAAGATACGGAAAGGAATATTTACTTCAATATGGAAATGCTTTTAACCTTCTAATCTTCCCCCTTTCAAAGTAAGCATCTTCTTTGGCATGATCTCTTATCATGGAAACATAATATTATTTATATATTCAGAAAGTACCTCAATTATAATATGATACTCTTCTAAAAGCTTCTTTAAATTCATCCCATGAATTTCTAGTGTTCTTGATTGCCCTAACAATTTCTTGATGAACATCAAGCCACCATTAAGCAGGAGAGCTAGTTTGGTACCTGGTAAATGTTCAACATATTGTTGCCAAATGAATGAATAAATGAATAAAAAATAAGTGTAATTTCCCCTTGGAGAATTATCATAATAATTACAATGTTAAAATACTTGAGAGAATATGATTTATTGTCTAAAAACTATTTTTAGAAATACTTTTTCAGAGAAGTTTGCATTTTAACAAATGAAATAAGTAAATAAAGAAAAGATCCAAAGTAAATAAAGAAAAGATCCATAGATGAAGACAAAGAGAAATTTATGAATCAAGTCTGAGTATACATCACATTGTGTACTGAAACACATATTTTATTTTTTACTTTCAGAGAAGTATGAGTAGAGTATGTTCCATAATCTCCATCAGATGTTCATGTACATTCAGTGAGAAACATTTTATTTAACCAAGGACTGCAGTATTTATATGGGTGTGTTAACTACTATTGTATCAGTTAAATGTTAAAGTCATTAGTCAGCATTCATCTCAGTTAACAGTGCAACTGCCACAGGACCCAGAATTAACTGTCACTCCCAACAGAATAAGATATAAATATATCCATTTGACTGAGTTAACGATGAAACTCTCCAAATTATTTAAAGGTGAAAATATCATACTGTAATGATTTTCAAAATGTGGACAGACACAGCACCATGGTCCCTGTCAATAATCGCATTGTTTCTGTCTCTGCATCCCCAGCTATCACAGTGCTGGACCAGAGGCTCTGCTCTCAGGTTACCTGGGTTTGCATTTTGTTCTGCAGTTTTTGTCCTATAGGACCTTGTAAATGTTTCTGACATTCTCTAAACTTTAGTCTCTGTACCTCTAGACTAGAAATAGTAACAGCACATATGTCAGAAGGTCCTAAAAATTGAGATACTCAATCCATGGATAGAGCTATATGCAAGTTCAGCAGATCGCTTACGCTCTGGAAGGCTCTGCTCCTATTACCATCCTCTGTAAGACAACTGTAATAAACTCACACTCATAATACACACTGCAGTAAGAGTTAATATATAAATGCACTCAAAAAGCTTACCAAATCCATGGTCTTTTGCTTCTCTATAAGTTTCCATGTTAAAAGATGTAACATTAACAGAAAGATTCATTAAATGGAAAAAGACAAGAAGATAACTGAAATTGTATGAGAGGGAAGTATTTTCTTCCCAAACAGAATGGCTTTGGGGAAGAAAAAGTTTGGCGGTGGTAGTAGCAATAGTAGTATTAGTAGGACTGAGAGTTATTGTTATTTAAAATTGGTGGCAGAGTTTAGGGCTGAGATAATTAGAAGTACTCCAACAATAATAGAGTAATGATAAAGAGAAAAAAAAAGCTTATAAAGTATTAAGCAGCCTGTGGGAAGAGTGGGCAGAAGAGAAAAGATTAGGTCCTAGGTTTTTGTCATGATCTGTCTCCATATTTATGTTACCACCATTCAATATTGGAGATTAAAAGAGATCAGGAAAAATTATGTGGCTTAATACAAAGAATCAGATGGATATTACACTTTAGACAGGTTTTGAGCAAAACCAGGAAATCAGATACTGAAAATGAAAGGCCATGGGTCTGAACCAAGGTGAACGGAGCTGGCTGCCAGCTGGCCCAGACCACAAAGAGGAGAAGCAGAGCTCAAGCACAAGAGCACAGCCCACAGGGACCTGAGAGATCCACTATCCAGTTAAGCAGACAAGGCTTCAACGACAGATTTTCACCCCATAACAGAAAGACTGCGTTGGGGGATGCAGGAGGAAGAAACTCCAAGTCCCAGTTGAGAGGCCAAGTCCACCTTCATGTCCCATGACGAAAATCAGCAGAGCTTCAAAGAGAAAATCACTGTCCTGTCCCCACGTTTCCCATATGGAACTATATGAAGCCTGTGGAATTTCATTTTTTAAGATTGTTTTTCCCAACCTCTCGTTGGCAATATTTGCTATTCATGGCTATGTTTTGTTTTTATTTTTTTTAACAATGAAGATTAAATAAGCCTCTTCAAGTTAGAGTTGCATATGGCTTAGCAGAGACTATAGGATTTAAAGCGAAATATCTCTGGATCTGGTTCTCTTTTAGACTGAATTCTTACCTTGGCCAATTAATGTGTGACATTCTGCAAGTTATATAATCTCACTGAGCCTCAGTTTTCTCATTTGGCAAATGAGAAAATAATAGCTAACTTCCAGCCCTGGCATGAGGCTAAGAGCTCATGTCTCTGATATACCTGGCACTGGGCCTGATGCACAGCAGGTACTCATAAAATGATAATTAGTTGCATTACTATTCAACAACACAGACACACTCTCAGCCAGAGCATATACTTTGAAGTGTTTATGAGAATACACTGTCTACTCCCAAAATGCAGCTATGTAAAACAATAGAGTATATATGCATTTGGAGAAAAAATGAAAGCAGGCATTGGAAACTGGGGCCATTTGCTTATTTAATACAAAAGTTTGGTGGGCCAGAAACAAACTAGAACCTTTTCCGTAGTGAGATGTCCTCTAGCACATTTTCTTCTGTGTCAGGCATGGCGTTTGAACTGAGCTGCCATCATCAAGATGCTGTACAGCTACCTGTAATTTTTACTTACAGATAACTATACAAAGCATCCCTAAAGATGGAGCGTTCCTACCACTTCAAACAAATGCTGACTCCTAAATGTTCTACTTCCTGCTCAAACTGATGTCTGAGACAAGATGTCTGTGCAGATCGCTGGCTCCATAATTGTTTCTTAGGAATCTGAGCTTGATACTCTGATGAACTTGAGTAGAAGGAATTGAGTGGGAACTGAGAGAGGAAAGATTCCATGGGGTGGACAGTGATATGTACAGAAACCCTCAGTAGGGGCAGGGCCAGCCCCCTGTAGTCAAACATATATTTCTGCAGCAAAATGTATGCATACTAAGCATGAAAAATAAAGATCGTAATAAGCATCCAGTCAGTTTGCTTAGGTTTTGCCACCAAATCAGTTACTTGAAAAGAACTTGGGGTTTTCAGAGTTCTTTTGGTTTCAGAGTTATGAAAAAGAATTTGTGGACCTAAATTTGATTCACCTTACAAGTGTCAACAGTACCTAGATTAAAGTTTTTGCTGTTACTTTTTACAACCTCTGGGGTATGTAAATATTCTAAAAATCAAACTTTTTAAAATATAACTTTATATTAAACATTCTCTTCTTTTTAGTCAGTTTTTGCCCTGAGAAATTCAATTGTTTCTTTTTTCCTACAAAATATGATGGTAAAATCACAATGTGAAACTTTCAGTTTTTCACACAATAAACCTCTATTCACAATGTGACAGACTATGGTTTTCTTCCGACTCTTCTCAACTCACATCTGAGGTCACTGGTTATCCATCCTGAAGACAGAATTATGAGACAAACCTGATCACCTACCTGGTGTGCCCTCTGACGTTTTTATCCCCATTCTACAGCAGTACTGAGCAATGCCGTAGTCAGCAATCTTTGCAATGATGGCAGCATTGGGATACAGGGTGAAAAGCAGCACATTGTGGGGCTTCAAGTCTCGGTATATGATCATGGCCGAGTGGAGGTATCTGCCAGAAAATGCACAGGAAATTTTATTAAAATGTGATTACATGACAATAATTTGTGTCCTAATTTCCTTAAATATACATATCCATTATGCCAAGCATCAAAAATTCTGTGCTCACTTTCACACTTAAAGTTAAGAGATATTGTAGAAGAAAATCGAAACATGTAAGTTTAATATTACAAAGTATGCTTAAAAAAAGGAGTCAAATCTGGTAAGTGAGTGATTTCAATATTTTTTGTTTTTTGGTTTTTTTTAGATTTTTGAGACAAGTCTATCTCAGGCAAAGTCCCAATTTTGGGAGACTTTTGTTTTGTACATGTCAATGATTACTTAAAGGCAATTCTGAATTCCCTCAATGACCATATGAATATTTTAACTATTTCAAAATGTAAATTAGTTAAATAAGAATTGATAGGATCTTGTTGTACTTGCCATTTATTTAATAGTTTGTTCTTCTTAAAACCATATAGAGGTTTATCTCAGGTTTAAAATTTTTCTCTATTCCATTTATTGTTGATATTTATTTTTCTGACTAAAATGTTTCCCAACGTTTGGAAAGTATTTTCTACCTTTTGGATGAAAACAAATGAAAATATAAGACTTTTGCTTGCTATCAGTCTCTTCTGTTTGAGTATGTAGTTTACCATAAACTAATCATGTTAGATATTAAAGTTAAAAAAGAACATTTGGGCTAAGAGTTAGAATGAATGAAATACTGTCTTGGAAAAGAGGATGGGTAATATTAAAGTCCATTGTTTTGGAGACTGATCCATGCAATCATGAGCAACTAGAGTTTGATATTTCAGACAAATAACAAAATTTAGTTAATATAAAAAAAGAACAATGTAAAGTTTTCATCTCAACCAGGTCCTATCCATTCTGAAAACATGATCAGAGAGCTCACTGTGTCTCCACAGTAAGACATCTGCATGGTAATAACATTATCACATTAGATGTCTACAAAATTCTGATTTCCTACTCTGTCTTCTCTGCCCCATGATGTCAAATTGACTATAGCATTTCATGTGATGTCACAGGTATGTTATAACCTACGTTGAAAATAATTTTTCACAAGACTTAATGGAGTTAAATTTAAATCATTTGCTTATTCATGACTGTTGGTTTTGGCTCACATTATATCAATTAATAGTTACTCCATTACCTAGTACCAATCACTTCTGGAAGGATTAGAAGCAGAGTGGCAATGATACCCTGAACTTTCATTTGTATGATAGCCTGGAGAGTACATATTTAATTGCATCAATACAGCAGAAGATTCTCTCTTTTCCAGGATGTAGTTGGGACATTTGGCATTAGGCCCATTCATTTCAGTATACTTATTTTGGGAGGAAAAAATAAGATAAATACAGTAATGAAGTTGACCTTCACAGTAAGTAATGGGCTTGGAAGAAAAATTTACTAAGGGCTTACTGAAAGGCCATTAGGTACTCTTGCCCTGTCGAAGAGAAAAGCTAAGAGATTAAGAATAAAAAGCTAAAGCCAAGTCATACATCATTGAATAGCATCCAAATCCTTCATGAGGCATGCCTCTTTTAGTATATTCATAGAACACAAACTCTTTCAGAATACTCCCCAAAGGCTAAAAAGAAATAGTTAAGCTTAATTTGAAATAATGTCAGTGGGAAAGAGATAATATCTTGGTTAGTTAAAATGTTCAATTATAGAATTTAATCTTAAGAAGTGCAGTTTTAATAGCTTTTAATAGAATAGCAAAATAGCTTTTGAAATAATAAGATCTTTCCTTCCTGACAATAATTTAGCCATAATTTGTGCATTGTGAAACCATGACTATTGTCAAATATTTTATTAAAATCGACTGGTTTATATTCAGTTAAACAGTCATTCTTTAATTGTGATTATTTTAAGAGTTGCTAAGAAACTTCTTTCTTCATAGCTTCAAGTAAACTTTATCTCATTCTGAATGGAATTATTCCAAAAATAGAATGCATTCATTCATTTAACCAATATATACTAGGTATCTATGAGGGCCGGTCATTTGGTACACAAAGCCATCTTTGTATCTCTGCTCTCTTGAGGGCATCACAATCCAGAAGGATTGTGCTCAAACAGTCCTGTAACACATGTCCAAATAAGGTTCCAGAAATGTGTAAGTACCACATTCTAGGGCAGCACAGAGGGAGAAACACACAGAGGTCAAGACAGCAAAGTTGACTATCCCACTAGACTGTAAACTTTCAACCTCAAGAACAATGTAATATCCAGCTTTCCCACTTTAGCACCTAAGACAATGTCTTGCACAGAGCATGTGCACGAAATGCAAGTTGGAGAAGCTAACACTACATGACAATAGAGATGGAATATGAGGAAATTCCTAAGGAAAATGAGCTCTCTAGGCAGACAACTTTGTGGAAAGAGAGGAATAGCAAATGCAATGATAGAGAGACATGAACATAACTGAAAATTCAAGCCTGTCATCATGGCTACAATACAGTGTGGACAGTGGGGAAGCAGGGGCTGCAAAGGGAGGCAAGAGACGTACAGAAAGTTTTGATGCTATGCCAAGAAGTTCAGATGCACTTTGCAGATAATTGAGAACTGCCACAGAATTCAAGATAATTCGAGTTTTATTTTAAAAAAGAAATTCTGATAATTCTCTGGACATACTGAACCAGCAATCGTGGCATAAAAATAAATGAATTGACTAAAAAGATAATGTAAAATAGAGTCAAGGACCTGGTGGACAAATGCATACATGCTTTTGGGGGAAGGTGTTTGCCCTGGATGGGACTACAAGTATCCTGGCCTGGCAAGTGTGGGATATAACAGAAAGAACAGATTCGTGGTGGGAGGACATAGCAAGGCAGGACATTCCATTTTGGAGATATTGAAACACAGGAACACACAGAAAATGTAGGAGACTATATATCTTCATAGATTTTATAGAATTATGATAAAAAGATCAAAGGAAGTAGATAGAATTGGAAAGGTAAGCTAACAGTGGAAAGCAAGACAGAGGAAGAGAGAGCATGTAACATGAAGAAAGTTCTTTTATGTCACTCTAAACAGCTCCAGTGTTTAAGGGACATCAAAGGAGCATAATTTTATTTACTCTTTTTGCATCTGTATCTATAGGTCTGTGATGAAACATATTTGGGGAAATAAACCTTAATGCTGAGTTTTTAAAAATATACTCAGTGCTGGTAGAAGATTGATAGCTACTGAAATCTACTAGCCTCTTGTAGTGCAAGATCCATAAAGCTCTTCTGGAATTATGCTAAGAACAAATTAGGCAAATTATTTTAAAATACTGACATTTCATTTACTTCATCAGAAACCGCTGGATTTGTTATTTAAAGTAAGGTTTCAGAGAACTAGAATAAGTCATTGTGGAGACAAGGTTTTTCAAAGAGTGTTAAGTAAAAAAAAAACCAGCAATTCTTCACTTTATAAATAAACACTTTGGGGATTTATGGAAGAATTAGGGAAAAACTAGAACCTAGAGTTAGTTAAATGAAGGAAAGAGATCTTTGAGATCCAGGAGACTAAGCTGCACTTTACCTAGATTAATTTAATGCAAGGTTCCCCCTGGTGTTCAAAAGCAGAAACATCAATTCAAATCCAAATCCCTGCACCCTGTTTCATTTTATAATCAGTACAGTTTTCAGTCATTTCTGGAACCTTACAGGAAGGGAAATCTACTCATTTAAAGCATGTAATTGTATATTTTGTAAGCTATTAAAGTTTATATCCTCCTGGTTGTGTTGTGTTTGTTTGTAAGGGGGTTGATTTGTTTTCCTCACTGCCCATTCCATTGACATTTCTGGATACTACCTAAAAGCCATATTCATGGCATTTCAGAAGAGAAAGAAGAGAAGGAAAGTTGCACATACTGCTTGGCTACTATGTGCCAGGCACTGTTTTCCTTCTTTTCTCCTTTCTCCCTCCCCCTGCCAATGTCAACACAATAATTTCGAAGGCTTACTATTTTAGGTGCTAGAGATACAATGGTGAACAAAATGAAAAGTCCCTACTCTCATGGTACTTAGATTCTGATGGTAAGACAGACAGACAATAAATAATTTTTTTTAAATGATAACATAAAGAATCCTAGGCAGCAATAGTCCTACAGGAGCTGGAGAGACACAGGGTTCTCAGGGACATCCTCTCTGCTGAGAGTCCTGAATGAAAGGATTCAGATAATCTTTTATAATAAGCAGAAAGCACATCTGAGAGTCAGACACTGCTGAGTGAAATGAACAGCAGATATAAAGCCTCTGGTATTTGCAAGAAACCTCGGGAATGGAAGTGACTGAGCACCGTGCCCAAGAAATAAGGCAGCAGACGGTTGATAACAGGAACAAGGCCTGAGCCAACTTTCATGTTAGAAAAATCACTCCAGTGGCTGGGTGAAGAATGGGGCATATCATGAGACAGAGGGGAAGCAGGGGACCAGTAGGCAATGAGAGATGATACTGGCTCAGACTTAAACCTTAGTAAGAGAAATTGTTAGAAGCATTAAAATATTTTGGTGGCAAAGCTGAACAGATTTGCTGAAGGATTAGCTGTGAGGTGAGAGAGGAATAAAGGAATGAAAGGTGACTCTCAGATATAACAACTGGGTACCTTGGGATGGGCAGCAATGGCTGAAGGGACATCAAGAGTTTCATCTGGAATGAATGTCATCCATTATTACAGAAGTTGTCACAATTTTATGCATTAAATATTAGTCATGGTTCATAGACTACTTAAAAAATTGGAATCAGAGATATAAAATCATAGTTACTAAGTGTGTGGAATAGTGATTAATCCCAGGCCTTTTGTCTTCAAAGACCACAGCCTGTCCACTCCACTATGCTGCCTCTGCAAAGCTTGACTGGCTGCAGGGATAGTGTGCCTCTGAGACAGGTGAGATGGTCATGCCCAAGAATCCAATGTGAATCGCTCTAGTCCCCTTGAGAAGTGTGAACTCATCTTTCCTCACTGGAATCATGTAACTGACTGACTTTGATACTGTAAAGCCTAACTTACACATTTTTATAGAAGTCAGACCAGTACAGGGTTAAGATTATGGGTTCTAGAGCAGAACATGTGTGTTCAAAAATTATTACTACTTGCTATGAGATTCTGCATTGTCTTCATACTCTCGTTTTCTGAAATTACAAAATTTGATCAGGAAACTGGTAGTTTTCATCCAAATTGTAAATTGTTACTGGGGCACAGTGTTACTAGGAAGTGTTCTCAGAACCTGAGAATAAGTCTGGGGTCACAACTGTCATGCACTGAATAGAAAACAACACAACCCGCTTACCTCAAACCATCAGCCACATGGAGTGCAATCCTGTGCTGTAGGGTTCTGGTGAGGCTGGCTTTGTCTTGCTGAAGCAGGCGATCCAAGGAACCCTTGGAAGCTAACTCCATCACCAACATCCTGGGACGAATCCCCGCTGCCAGCAAAGATATCAAACTGGGGTGGTGGAGGTGGCAAAGCACCACCAGCTCCTGCAAAAGTCCAAAATCATAAGAGTAATTCAACATCAGGTCTTACCCACTTATCTCCTTCTTTAGAGTGCATCAACAGGCTGACCATGCATTTCTCCAGATGACTGGTCATAGCAAACTTTCCATTTCTTCTGTGAGTTTTTTCCCATATTTTCAGTAATAAACACCTGGTTTTAAAACTACAGTTGACTCTTGAACATTATGGGTTTGAAATGCATGAGTCCATATATACATATATTTTCTTCTACCTCTGTCACTCTTGAGACAGCAAGACCAAGCTTTCCTCTATCTGCCCCTTCTTAGCCCACTCAACGTGAGGATGATGAGGATGAAGAGCTTTATAATGATCCACTTCTACTTAATGAAGAGTAAATATATTTCTCTTTTTTATGATTTTTAAGTAAAATATTTTTTTCTTTAGCTTGCTTTATGGTAACAATACAGTATATAATAGAGATAACATACAAAATATGTGTTAATCAAGTGTTGGTTATCAGTAAAGCTTCCAGTCAACACTGAGCTTAGTGGTTAAGTTTTTGAGGGGGTCAAAAGTTATATGCAAATTTTTGACTGCATGAGGGGTCAGCAGCCCAACCTTTATGTTTTTCAAGGGTCAACTGTATTGTCAGAATTAAATTTTTAAGTTATATTTTTCCTTTGACCCTACTTTTATCAGACATTTAATGCAGAAACAGTGCACACACTGTGGTCATACTAACTGGCCATGTCAAATTTATCTACTGAATTCTGGTTAGCCACAGAATCCTCAGCACAGGATTCTCTGAAGCCACTACTAATCAACTGCACCTGGCATAGGAGGTAAAACCTGCCTATAACCTCTGGTTTAATGATTACAAAAGTTTACTGAAGATAATGCTCAACTTCAGAGTAATATATGCCATCATCCCCACTGAAAACTCTCTAATGACTTCCTATTTCTCTTAGATTAAAATCCAATCTACTTTCATGCCCCAGGCCTCCCAGACCATCTCCTTTCCCCCTCCTTTTCATTCACCACCCTTTAGTCACATTGGCATTCATTCAATTCCAAGTTGAGCCCACCTTCTTCCCATCATAGGGTCTTTGCCTGTGCTGACGTCAATCCCTAGAAATCCCTTCACCCTTCACATGGCTGAAGTCTTCTTGCCATTCAGATCTTAGCTCTAATATTACTACATCCTCAGAGTGGCCCATGGGCCACCTTTACTAAGACAACCCTTGGTTGCAACAATTTCTCTCCAATCCAAAAAACATCCGAGATACCATTCTGGCTTGAACAGAGGGGTTGCCTTAGTAAGAGAGGCCCATGGTGGGCCACTCTGAGTATGTGGTAGTATTTGAGCTAAGAGCTGAATGGCAACAATCCTCTCTGTGGCCCACATCATATGAGACTTCACAGCCTCTTTTATGACATTGTTGGGGTTGAATTCCAGATTCACTTTATATTGTATGTTGCACTTTACTCTGAAACTGTAACTCAGTTGAAATTTACAGCTTATGTGATGTTAAATTGATTCATGCTTTAAACTGTGATCACTGCAGAAGTGCTGCTTCTTAACAACCAGCTTCAAAGGTGTGGAGTAGCAGCGCCCACTGATTTATCAGGAAACTGAAATGTGGAGAATTCTGCAAGCTGAAGAAGAAAGGCTGAATACCCTGAGAGGGGATTTTCCAAGAGCAAAGCTTCAGACTGTGATCACATTTGCTTAGTAGGTAAAATCTTTTTTTAATACCCATGTCTGATTAGCTCAGTTGGTTAAAACTGATGAGAACGAGTTAAGTTAACTTGGTTTATTTTCATAGGCACAGACAGAGGCCTAATCCGAATTTTCTATCCTGGAAAAGTAGCTCACTGATTGCAAAGAAAAAGAAGCATAATAGCACAGTGTAATATAGATCTGCCCCATAACTACTGGTAGAATGACCATCAAATGTCATTTTTCTTTCTTTTTGTTGTCATCTTTTCCTTTTTTTTTTTTTTTTTTTTAAGAGAAGAAGCACATTATGCACACTTGGTTTTTTTCAATTTCTTCCACCATTCCCTTAGTTGGCCTCCCTGCCTATACACTAATAGGCCCTGTAGGCATTATAATGTACTGATTTCCACCAGAGTTCCCCAAATATATTGTGTAAAATTTGAATGCATGCTCATGATTATCAAACAAGGCTAAAAAATCAATTTATATAACAAATTACCTACACATTGAAAGAGATTGTGCCGGATTTGATTCACAGATAAGCTTCTACATACAAAATATTTAACTCGGTTCTAAAACCACTGTGACTGTTGTTACTAAAAATTAAAATGCCCCAGGATATTTTGTACAGACATGAAATTTTATATTATTCAGAGTAACTAAAATAGTATAACTACGTATTTTTTAAAAGTTACAAAATTTACTTAGTTCTAAGAATTTTTTGTAATAAGTCAATGGAAAAGTAAGGATATGTAGGTTCCAAAAATACAGTCCAGTTCTGATATAAGATGGAAGAATTTCACTTCCTCTCTCATCCTGTTTCTATCTCTCATTCCTAATGTCAATAAAGGGTCAGAAAAAGAAATAAATTCCCAGTAGTATCCAAACAAGAGACAGTACAGGAGTGATCACTGTTAGTTGTATATTCTCCTTCCTTTCCTCCAAAGAGTACCGTGATATTTGCTGAGGTACTCAACCTACACCTATGCAGCCCATGGACTCTAGTTCAGGGGGGAACTAACCCCAATATTAGCCTCTCAGAACAGGGGAGAATATTCTAAGTAACACCATCCTCAGGGCCATAGTGATCAGTTCAGTAACAAAGGTCTAAAGCCAATCAGCACAAAGCATAGCCCTGAATGTGGTATTTGTTGAGAAAAGCACAGATGACTCAACTGGGGCTGAGAGACATTTATTTAATGGGTTATTATGTAGGCCATCTGGTTCCTTTGAAATACAAGTCCTCAAAAGAGATACCCTTTTTTCTTCCATACTTGGAATAAGTAATTGTGAGGCCTAGAACCAGTTTACCACAATGAGAAAAGCCACTCTGAAGGAATTAAATCAATATACCAAGGTTAAAGGAATTTTAAAGAAAATTGGCCTGAGTCACTGGATTAAACCAACCCTATGGTGCGTACCTCCCATGACATTTTTTTATAGATGAAAAGTGAAGATAATTTATCTGATAAGCTCATTGCAGAAAGTTGTTGATCTATGAAGAGATGTAGAACAGAGTCTGAAGTATCTAGAACAAGCTTGTCCAACTTGTGGCCCACAGGCCCCATGTGGCCCAGGATGGCTTTAAAAGTGGCCCAATACAAATTTGTAAGCTTTCTTAAAACATTATGAGAATTTTTTTTTTGGCATTTTTTTTTCTTTTTAGCTCATCAGCTATTGTTAGTGTATTTTATATGTGGCCCAAGACAATTCTTCTTCCAATATGGCCCAGGGAAGCCAAAATATTTGACATGTCTGATCTAGAACTCTCCAGCATATTAAGACAAGAAAATATAATGCATCACTAAGCAGAGGGGAAACAGCCTCAATCCCAAAATCACCAGAGTAAAGCCTGCCTTCCTTTGGCAAGTATGGTCTCAGCAGTCCTGATGATCCCTGCCCATGTGACCTAAAGAATAGAGTATCCTTAAGCAGTACCCAGCCCTTAAAAGCCTAGGGTCTACCTTCTTGTTCAGAAAGTGGTAACTTGAACAAGCAAACCTATATAAATGTGAAGAATGCCCATTCTAGTTACCTTTAATAATCAATATAGTCCTTCTTTGATAATCAATACAGTACTTACTTCACAGACATGAAGTCACCCAAAACTACTCAATTTGGAAAGCTAACAAGATAAAAGAACGATCAAGATGAACTCATAGACCAAATAACCTCAGAGAAAATAGCAACAATGCAAGTAACACAAAAAATTAAATTCTGATTGACATGAACAGAAACACTTGAGGACATTTCATCCAAAAATATGGCTACAAAGGAACAACTAGAGGGCACAGAGTTGCTAGAAATGAAAAATATGATTATCAAAACAAAATTCTGCAGAAAGCTAAAAAATTGATGAGGCAATTCTGAAAAACAAATTAGAAACCTGTAAGAGATAGTCAAGTAAGTAACACAAATTATAGATAAAACTTGAAGAGGAAATTCAAACATGGATGATAGACCTACAAGGCTCGTCATCTAATAGATACTCTTAGAGCAATGATAAGAAATAATGAATCATAAGTAACTACATATAGACTCCAGAGAAGCAGAGGCTTGACTGGATTTAGCTTACTACTATATAAATATATTATATATCTCATCACCTAACCTGGTACAGAGTAGCTGTCAGTAAAAATGATTAATAAATGTTAGGGAGAAAATAATACATAACAGAAGAGAATACACAGAAGATAATTTTTCTCAAAATAATAAACTAAATGGAATGAAGAACAACCTACACACAAACACATACTTGTAAAGTTTCAGAACACTTAAAATAAATGAAATTCAAAAGATCAAATTTTCAGTTTTCAAAATAAAATTAATGGTAGCCAAGATAGGAGTAAACATCTGACTGACTGTAAACTGCTCAGCAAGAGTGGGCACTAAATATCAAAGGGATTTTCTTCAAATTTTGAAGAAAAATTATTCCTAAAAAATAACATATTATATCCACCACATGTGAGGGCAAAATTAAGGTATTTTTAACATGTAAGGACTGAAAACATTTACCTTGCAAACACTTTTTCTTAAAAAAATTACTCGAAGACATTCTTCAACAAAAACTAAGGACAATCCAACCAAGAGAAGGCCATGGAATCCAAGAAATATTGAGGATAATCGAAAAGGGCGAGGAAACTAAGTCATAGATTAATCACTGTGCAAGCAGCCTAGAAATCCATCTCTCATGTTTAGAGCAGTAAGTCATGCACTGAATAAGGAATGCCTTCAAGGAGAAAGTAGATTCTGTTATACACTGTATACTTAAAGGCATGACAAAAATATGTATCTTTTCCTGAAATTTGTTTTTTTTTTAATATATATATAATCAGAAAATCTCAAAAAGTTACATAAAATAAATTACCACTGGTACTCAGGAGGTTAAGGTGGGAGGATCACTTGGGGCCCGGAGTTCCAGACCAGCCTGGTCAACCTAGTGAGACTCCATCTTTAAAAAAACTTTTTTTAAACCAGGGTTAAAATGTGGCCCAAATTAAAATATGCCCTTATTTTTTATAAATTGATGATAAATATATAACGATAGAGAATCCATTTGACTTTGATATTTGGAATGTTACTATTCTAGTAGGAAAAGAAGTTAGTGATAGAAGGCTTTATTTCCTTATTTTGGCTCTGTACAAATAAAATTGATATATATATATATACACACACACACACACATATGTATTATATATATAATACATATGTATATATATATTGGCTATATATATACATATATATATAATATTATATATAATATATATATAATATATATATATAATACATATGTGTATATATATTGGCATTGTTCTCAGAACAATATTGGCATTGGTTTTGTTCTCAGAACCAAACTATAGACAAAATGTGAACAATTTATTTATGAGTACAGAACAGAATATAAGTGTTATAAACTTTCACTACATAGAAATAATAAATTACAGAACTTGAGAAGGTGAAGGGAAGAGGAGAAAGAATAGCAGTAATTTTCCTCATCTCACATAGCAAGGGGTCAGTCCATGCTGTTTAGAGGTGGTGTACTAAAAAAACAAAAGGTTTCTAAATCATTCCAGGTTATAATTGTTACTATATGAGGAAAACTAATGTAACCATTTTTAAATTTTAGGAAGCGGACAGGGAGATGGAGTGAAAGTTAGGATAAGTGTGTTAACTTTCCCCATGTTTTGTAGTAAGTAATCAATAGCGGTTCTTATTAAAGTAGATAAATCCAGAAAAGAGAGGTTATCAGGGAGAGTTTTGGTTTAAGATTTCTAACCTTCAGTCAAATCAGCAATGTGAGATCATGCACTGAGCTTCTTTGACCCTGAACACATGGAAGTCATGCTCAATTAAAAGAAAAATAATTCTCTCCCTGGACCAGAGAAATAAAACATAAATACTTTAACGAAAACAAAACCTAAGTCAGGAGCTTGCTACGCTTCAAGGTCTGGAAGCAGATGGAGGGATCTCGAAGTCTGACTACCATGGAATACCAGGGACAAAATTACAGTGTTGAAAAGTCCCAGGTTTCTGCAGTTCTAACAATCTCCCAGGGAATGCCCAGCTGCTTGTCCACAGAGCACATTTTGAACAGCAAGGTTCTAAAGTGAAAAGGAGAGTATCAGTGAGTCTTACAAAAAGTTTTACAACATACTACGTATCACAATTAAAAGGATTCTCAAAACATAGTGCTTTCTCAACAAGAGAAACAACACAAAACTTTCTACTCCACGAAGAAAAGACAAGCTAGGATTGTATAATTAAACTCAAGTAAACTTTTGAAGGAAATGCGGTCATTATTTTGCATTTTCAGAACTCTATGCAAAATAAGAGTTCCAGTAGATTAATAATGTATAATTTGATATAATTACATTATAAATTTCTTACTTGTCTTAACAGCCTAAGTGATGTATGCTTATTAAAAATCTTCACAGCCACTTCTTCTCCTTCATAGGCTGCTCGATAAACTGATCCAAAACTGCCATCACCTTTTGAAAAAAAATACAAAGCACTTAAATTAATCTGTCCAAGCAAAACAAAACTAAATAAATTATATCTGTTGTAATTATATATGCTGTACACTTGAAGAGAAATCTGACCTACATGTTTCACTGAATCAAATCTCCTTTACCACTTCCTCTTCCTGCTACTCCAAGAAAGATACATCTAAAGTTTTTGCCCCCAACCTTCCTGTCTTCCCTCTACACATATCCTGCTCAGTTATGTCATCCACTTCTGTGACTTCATTTAACCATTTACATAGAACATTTTCACATGTTCACTTACAGCCACCTCCTAAGTGCTCTCCTGTATTTTCAACTTTGTGTTAGAGATTTCACTGGTATGTCCTTCCAGCTATCAATCACAGCCCATCGGAAGCCACATTTATTGTCTTTTTTCCTAACCACTTTTTATTCTACCTTCCACATAGCTGATGAGAACAAAAGCAAAACTCTTTTTGAAGTCCTTCTGGAGTTAAAATTGAGGCGTTATTTTAACTCTTGCTCCGGTCTAACCCCACAGCTAACACTGGCAGTCCACTTTGTAGCCTCATTCACATTCCTTTCATCTCCATTTCCACTACTACCACACCCATTTTGTGGCTGCAGCGCCTTCTGCTGAGTCCCAGGAGGCCTCCTGAGTTCCTCATTTCCAACTCATTCTCTCTGTCTTGCAAAATTAATTTTCCTACCATTCCACTTTGATTGTGTCAATCCCCTGCTCAAAAACAAATCATTCCATGTTGCTTATTAAATCAAATCTAAATTCAGCTCATTAGTCACACTGTGGCCCCTAAATCCTTTTAAAGTTCTCTTCTTGCTCTACTTCTCATTCTCAAGTTTCAAGTTCAGTAGCTTTCCCTGCCCTAGTTCTGGCTAAACAGTACACCTGAGGAGCTTTTTAAAACACTAATGTCTGGCTTAAGTGATTTTGATTTAATTATTCCCAGGAGGAAATGGCCACTAGATTTTTTTCTTCTTTTAATTCTGTATTTAGTAGAATTAGTAATGAGCAGGTAAGGTTGAAAACAAGTGCTTTAAGCAAACTGGAAGAGCCAAAATTTCCCAAACATGCTTTGTATCTTCAAGCCTCCATACCCTTGATGAGCTCTGCTACTCCATCATCTCAACCTCCCGGGAGTTTATCAAGCCTGTAGGGCCATATACATACCAAGAAATGGAGGCCAGCCTCAGAAACTGACCATGATCAGCCCCATGGACTGTTACTCTCCATTGATATTTAGCAAATCCTGTTTGTACAATATTTATGGTTCTCATATAGTGCCTTGAAATGTAGTCACTTGATGGATATAAGTGAATACATACAAAACAATCTATAAGGAAGTATAACAACTTGTAATTTCCAAGCGGTAAATTTACACATCTATGGAAAGTTTCCACCTATTTGTTTATTTTTATATGTCTATAATGAGCACATATAATTATATTTTATGGTCAGAAGCATAGTATATTAAAATAATTAACTCATTTGAGCATGTCTTGTATTTCTACTAGATAGTAAATATGTTAAAAGTATTATTTGCATCTTATCAGTCTTGGTATCCTCTTATTCTATCCCTCCAGTACTTAATAAATATTTGACTTTTAAAACCCATTAGTTAGGGTTGTTGGTATTCAGAGATCTTCAGGGAGAACTGTTACATATTGGAATCAGAAATAGAATCAGGTAAACAGAAGAGGGAAAAGAGAAAGAAAGCAAGTAGAGGGGGAAGGGAGAGAACAGGTTGGAGAGATGAAAACATATACTAGATGCATCTTGTTCTGCTTCACGTCAGTCTGGACAGCTATCAACAACAAAGAAAAATTGTAATGGAGCAGAGAGAAGAAACGTACTCTAGGGAGATACAGCAAAATTTCAAGTCGGAGTAGAGGTTTCTAAATTTTTAAAGTCCTTCTCTGAGAGTCACTGTTACATTAATATGGAGCATGGATTGTCATGTCTTTCAGGTGACTGAAAACAAAAATAAAGTTAAGGACGACTATTGTATATTTGTGACACCTAGGTTGGAAAGAAAGTTGGAGGCGAAAAAATTTTCCTAACCCCTCAAATCACACCACTGAAGTGGAAGTACCTGCCTTGGCTCTCCAAAAAAATAAATAGCTTCACAAAGAGAATATGTACCCTGTGGCTTCTCAGATGTGTGAACAAAATCCCACACATTTATATTTTAAAATATATTCACAAAACAAGTACATTCATATCTATTAAGGTGGGTTATATTAGTCTTTTTCCCAGTTATCTGGGAAAAAGAGAGTTATCAAAAAGCCTGTATTCACTGCTGTCCCACAAGAAAAATGGGAAGAGGGGAAATGGAGAGAGGCATGATCTTCCCAGATTACTCTAATACAAACATACTGGAGGCTCTACCTGTAAAATGTTTTTAGAAGGATACACTAAATTTGTTTAAATCACTGGTACTAAACTCCGCCTCTTTAGCAATATCCAGAGATATTTTTTATTGTCACATGTGGAGGAAGAAGGGGGAATACTACTGACATCTAGTGGGCAGAGGCCAGAGATGCTGCCAAACATCCTACAATGTACAGGATGACCCTCAATAACAAAGAGTTATCCAAGCCAAAATGACAACAGTTCAAAGGCCAAGAAACTCCCATTTATATTGCTTTCTGTAACTGAAGGTGGGATTTATGGATTTATGGGACATTGATATAGAGAAGGGAGGGTAATCACAAACATTTTCCTATCTGTGTAAATAAACAGACTTTGTAAATGACATTTCTACATACACTACTCAAAACGTGTCCATTCACCTAAAACACACTTTAACGCAGGGAAAAGAAATATTTTATGGATCTGTGTCTGACAGTTTGAGATTTCTTCAGAGGAAGGATGCACTATGTCTGGTACTTTCCGGTATACCTTGAAGACTGGGGTTGGTTAAGATGTAGGATTCAGCATTGACAATTCGTCATTTTATGTTAACCCACTATTACTAATATATTAACTTCCTGAGTTCCAAAGAATTTAAATTCGTCCTAAACTCCACAAGCAATGCCAATAAAGAAACATATAAAGGAGTTTATTTAGCTTTAAATATCATGTTCCAAATTTTGGACACTTTTTTTGCTAATATTATTATGCCCTTACTGATTTTAGGTATTATCTCTGTGGAAATTTAATTAAAATTAAATTTATACACACACAACAACAAAAACTAAAAAAAGTAATGTTAAAATTGTCTTCAAATGCTTTATATTAAATCAATCTGATGCTTTTCATAGTTGTCCCAATGACTCTCAGGAATGTTTAAAACTTGAGTATGTCAGCCTACAGTTAATAGTGATATACTGAATACTTGAAAATTTCTATGAGAGTAGATTTTAATAATTCTCACCATAAAAATAAGTATTTGAGATAATGCATATGTTAAATAGCTAAACTTCTCCATTCCACAACATATACACATATTAAAACATCATGTTGTGCACCATAAATATATACAATTTTTTACTTGTCAATTAAAAAAAAATGTTTTCAAAATATATTTTTCTTAAAAAAAATGATAACTAAGGAGCCAGACATATCAAAGTATCACAGGCTTTGTAAACACATTAGCTTTTATTCTGAGACACCTGAGAAGCCACATATGTAATCGACAGAATGACATACAGTCGCATGTCATATGTTGACTGTTTCTTTCCCAAAGTAGTTGGAATGCTTACATTTTTCATCTTTTGAAGTATGAGCATTTTTTAAAAACATCTATTAGGACTAAAAATCCATTTGCCATTAGAGGACAGGTCCAGGAAGTCAAGATACAAATGAGAATACTGGAACATGGTTACCATGACTTTACCTTTTCTCAATGAGCACTAAATATACTACATGAATTCAGTGATTTCCATCACTATTGAAAATCACTGATTGAATTCATGTAACCAACAAATGTAAATTGTTCAGCACACCAAAAAATAAATAAATAAATAACTTGAGTATGTCAACATGTAACACTTCTGATTTTTCAATTCCAAGGCTTTTTATGACTGTTTCTATGAGAATTCAGCATTTTCATTCTGAGTCATAAAACCTCTGCTAAGACTACACTGTGGTGTGCTTCTTGACCTATTCTGTCATTTTAAATATAAAATATGGCTGCTTCACTTAACTCACCGGAAAACCTTCTTATTTGCCTCCCACACCCCTGGCAATTAAAGCAAATGCAAGGATATATTACATAAATATTTGTGTTTCCGTGACAATCCCATCCTCATCTTGATCCTAGTCTACATGATCATGTGGAAAGCAAATTCCAGATCTGTAACATGATATTCCTTTAAAATATACCATTCCAAATAAAAAGCATTGTAACAAATATATGAAGACACTAAAAATCTATGAAAATATAATTATAAGATCTATTTTCTAAATTATAAGCAGAAAATTACATCCTAATTTTCATTCACAAACTAAAAAAAATAATTACCTAGGAGAAACTCTGGAGCTTGTTCAAATTCCAACTCATCATTATTCAACATAATATTTCTAGGCAGGTCAGCCAAAATCAAGTCAGGGGCAATCTGAGATATTGGAATGGTGAGCCTTGGTTGATCTGGATTTACTAAGAGATCTCCTGAGAAGTAAAAAAAAAAAAAACATTTTAAAAATGAAAACAACATTTAAGGGGATACGTAAATTTGTGGGTTTGATGTGAAAGATCAATTGAATATTTTCTATACTTTCTAATCTCTGCGTTTCTAACCAATCCCAGGTTTCTCTAGAAAATTTGAGAATATTTTAAAGATTCACTTAGTATGTATCTACTTGGAATTTTAAAAATTTATTCCTAAGTTCACTTGTTAGATAGTAGAATTCTGAACAGCTGCAGACTACCAAATATCTGACTAGAAAGTTATCTATTCTATACTTTTGCCACATTCATGAAGCTGAAGCTGCTATTATATGGCAGACATGTTGGTAAATTATGTCTGTGTATTGTCTATTTTAATCTTTATAACAATTCTATGAGATAGATGTGGTTGGTATTCCTGTTTCACAGATGAGGTTACGTTGCTTAATGAGCCAGCATTCAAACCCTGAAATTGTCATTTTCTGAATCTAGAATACAAGATTTTATTGGTAATAAATATAATCTAGTTTTCTGAATTGTCCCTATAATTGAATATACTATTTTTAACTCATCCCTTATGGATAAGAATGTTTACATTTATTTAAAGTCATTTCATAAGTATTGAAGGATCACTTAAAAGCTTTTGTAAGTTTTATCAAAACATACCTTCCTCTGCTTTCTTCATCAAGTCATCAAGTAAGATTTTTTTATGTTCTTCACCATCATTAAAACTATATAATGCCCATTTCTTCAATAGGGTTTCTCCTTCACCACAAATATCAATCTCCAACAACCCAGGAAACCATTCTTCCATGAGAGAATCAATGTGGTCCACAACTTGGCCCAAAAGAATACAGCCTACATGATTCAAAACAGAGCTCAACACCTTGTCTGAACTTCATACTGTCAAAAAGCTTTAAGGTAAACTTTTTTTTTTTTAAGTTTAGGTTTTTTTTTAGTGTTAAAATTGAAACATTTAAATTGATTTTCTTACCTTTTCTACAAGAAGGAACTGTAATTTTCAGGAAACTCTCTGGGTGATTGTCTATGACTTCAGATCCTACTAGACAATAAGCTTCAGGAGACCAATTCAAGTAGATGCCTTGTCGCCAGTACATTCTATTTGGGCGAAGTGCTCGTTCTAAAAGAAATTTAAATGGATCCAAATGGTGCCATTAATTATTAACTACCTCATAAATTAAAGGGAAAAAATCTACTGAACACACCACAAGTGACTATAATATAGATTTATTCATTTCAAAAGAAAGTATTGAGTTGTTAATGACATGAGTCCCCATCCATATCTATTAAATATTATATTAAATATTTTATCCATAACTTTACAATAAAATGAGTTAAATGCCCTGTAGATTAAGATACATTTCAGGATCATGCTGTTGTTAAGCAGTTTAATATGCTCAATAGATGAAGAAAGGGAATCATAAATAAGTCCTCATAATTTTTAAAAAGAAGTGATCATGCTAAATCCAAAACTTCTTGAGCTTTTTAATGCAATGTAACTACTGTATATGTTGATTAATTCTAAGCAAGGTAAGGTTTATTTTGGAAACCTGTAACACCTGTGTAAAGCTAATTTTAACCCCCAAAATGATATTTTCCCTTTGGAGCAACAAAATGTCTCTATTTATTTTAGAAGAAAGAGTTCGCATTATAAACACCTGTATTTGCTCTTTTTTTTTTTTTTGTAAGTTTCTCAGTGGTTGTGCAACAGAATAGAGATAATTACAGTCCCTACAATGTAATCACAGCCAAGATCTGAGTGAGGACATGAGGAGTTTTCTTCCTGACAAATTGGATGAGTTTATATGTTCTTGTGTGTCTTTACATTGCCTACTCCAAGGTTTTATGAGCTTATTTTCTGATTCTTCAGCTGCCTTCCAAACAAGTAAACTCTGAGAAAATGGCATATTACTTTTAATATGTCATCTCCCTAATTTCTCTAAATATTAAGTCATCAGTAAATACTCACCTCTCCCTGAAAGCATGTAAGGTGAAATCTCAAGTAATCGGTTGATTAATCTGGACCAAAATCCCATTGGAAAATAAGGCATTTCATATAGTCGGATGATAATTTCAGAGTTCTCACAATGGGGAAGCTCTATCACAGGCCTGTGGTCAGACAAACTAAAGACAAGGACGCTATCACTACACAGCCTCACAAAATACCCAACCATGTTGAGGAAATAACTTTAATGCTTAAAATCAACAAGGTAACTCTTGCAAGCAACTGCAGTCTTTTTGTAACATTGTGTCACTACATGTTTTTCCTACACCAAAAATTCAGTGATCATTAATCAATTCAAATGCATGCTCCGATGTAAATGCATGAAATATTTTCAGTAATCCCTATGTACTAATACATAAATTATAATTAGTTATACATAGACAAATAAAATCTTATATAAATCCTGAAAAATATGCATCCTAGAAAAAAGTGGATATTTATTTTTACAATTGGCTGCATCCATCAATCAATGTAATTTGCACATTTCAACATTATATCACTTTATAACATTTGCCAGTAGCTTATAAAACAGTAAGAAAAATTTCTATAGTATAGGCTAGAACTTAGGCATTCATCGTGATGCCATAAATGCTTTTAACATTCTGTTGAAAACTCACTATCTTCTCAAAACTTGCTTAATAAACTCTCTCAGTATTGTTTAAGAACACACACACACACACACACACACACACACACACACACACATTAATCTCCAATATTTACCTTTCTTAAATAATTTAAACAGTGATAAGCCAACCAGTAACTATATACAAAAAATTAGTGATTTACTGTATCTTTAAAGTGTCAGATGCAATGTTTTCTTTAAAAATAAATGATATACATCAGTAGGAAGTTTAGACTAGAAGTAAAATACATTTATTTGTTTGTTTAATACATTTATTATAGACTGAAGTTACTTTGACAATTAAAAGAATAGATACTGAATTTCCACATAGCAATTGTTTTAAGACGTGCTTTACCTGCTTGGAACCAGCAAATATTCTTCTCCTATTGGCAAAGCAATCTGGAATTTTTCCAGGAGCTTAAAATACTGTGACATGTAGTTCTTTGGAAATCTTCTTTTCTTTGAAAGAAATTTTTCCACATCTCTACGTGAAATAATTCCCTTAGGGTGTTTTGGACAACCTTCCACTTTCACTGTCAAAATCTGAAAGATTTGAATAATAAATAATCACTAGAATTTATTTTCTGAAATGTTGCAAATTTAAAGCATTTTATCTGTCTTTGCCCCATGAAAGTAGTCAGAAAGATTTTAATGTTTTCAAGTGCAACACAGTATCTAATTTCACTAGCAACCCTGTGGCCTAGAAGCCCAGAGGGGCATTCCCTCTTTAAAAAAAAGTGTAACAAATAAAAAAAAAGGAAAGAAACAAAAAATTAAATTAAGGCGCTAATTCAGATCAGAAATTATTAAACTTCTCTGAAACCAATGGACATCAATATTTTCCTAGCTCCAATGAAAAGATCAATCCAGTACCTCACATCTGTTTTGCAGTCTCATCAATAATATATTCCCAGGAAAATTACCCTCCAGGCAGTTATCAAACAGGTTAGAAATAGAAATATTACTTTATATTTATATACTAGGAGAGGGTTTCCATGAAAAGGAAGACAGACTGTGGAGTAGAGTTTCATGATTCTCAAAGTAACTACCACATTCTGATGGATTCTACTTGCATTGTCTAGGTCAGAGGCCAAGAATCTGCTTTTTTAGCAAGCAACCCTGACGATTCTAACACAGAGATCATATTTTGAGTTTTGATCATTGTCATGGCAGTTAAAAATCAGTCAGAACCGGCCGGGCGCGGTGGCTCACGCCTGTAATCCCAGCACTTTGGGAGGCCGAGGCGGGTGGATCACGAGGTCAAGAGATCGAGACCATCCTGGTCAACATGGTGAAACCCTGTCTCTACTAAAACTACAAAAAATTAGCTGGGCATGGTGGCGCGTGCCTGTAATCCCAGCTACTCAGGAGGCTGAGGCAGGAGAATTGCCTGAACCCAGGAGGCGGAGGTTGCGGTGAGCCGAGATTGCGCCATTGCACTCCAGCCTGGGTAACAAGAGCAAAACTCCGTCTCAAAAAAAAAAAAAAAAAAAAATCAGTCAGAACCGAGATTCAAATCCGGCCTCTACTACTAGCTATGTATTCTGGGGAAAGGTATTTGCTTTCTTTAATGCACAGTGTTTCTTCTCTGTAAAATGAAATAGTAAAAGTGATTCTCCTAGATTGCCCTGAGATTTAAATAACACATGTAAAGCATGCAAAATACATTCGACAAATTTTAGCATATTTATCTATATATTCCAACTTATTTTACTTCGTCAAGTTCACTTTAAAAAGAGGTTTGTAGTTTATTTTCTTTGGCCAATCTATAATGTTTAAGGAATACTTAAACAGAAGCAAACATTATTTATGCTATCATGCAGTTGAGTGAAATACCAGGTTATAAAGTCCTTAGGCCCAAGGACTTGTCTTACCCATCTCTGTATTTCTGTATTGTATGTACAATGTTTATTGAATCAATGAATGCATGATTGACTGAACATATTGGTATTTAATGACAGTGTGCAATGGTCCTATAAATAACAAAAACTCTCATTTAAGACTTCTCCCATATTGTGTACGTTATAAAAATCTCAGATTGCTCTTACAGTTTAGGTGGTGAAGAGAATTGGTTGCCGTTTTAGCATTTTTTAAGTTCTAAGACCTTTTTTGACAATTCAACTCCAACCAACTTTATATTTTCTTTGTAGCACTCTGTACAACTCAACCTATTATATGTTTATTTATTAGTTCTCTTCTCTCATTTGAATGTCAGCCCTATGAGTGTATATACTCATAGGCCCTGGAGTAAAATTACTTGGTTTGAAATTCTAACTGTACCTCTTCCTGAAAGTGTATCTTTAGATAAATTATTCAACCTTTCTGTCAATCAATTTCTTCATCTGTATCATAGGGGATAATAAAGTACCATTTGGAAAGGTTGCTGTGAGTATTACATGAGATAATCTTTGAAAAGCACATAGTGAACTCATGTATGTTAGCCATCAGGTTATTCTCATTTATTTTACTTAGATACACTTATTTTTTAAAGAGTTTGTGCTTGATTTTCCTAGTAGATCTATAGCATGCTACCACTATTTGTAGTAGATAGTTTCCAAAGATGAACACATCATTTCTATCCCTATACATAGGTGCTATTCATACGGAGTATATTTTCCTTCCCCTTCAATCTGAGCTAGGCTTGTGGTTGCCCTTGTTACTAGAATGTGGCAGAATTAATATTTTTGCCAGTCCTGGGCCTAGCCTTTAAGAGGACTGAAAAATTGTGCTTCATTTATCTTGGTAACCAGCCACCATGAAAGATGTCCAATTACCCTGTGATCACCATGCCATGAGGAAGCCCAACCTAGCCATATGATAGGCCACATGGAGAAGCACCAATACTCCAAAAAGGTGCAGGTAGCTTTCTTGCACTTTCCAGCTCAGTTCAGTGAATGAAGCCTAGTGAATGACACTTGCCAATACCATGTGGAGCAGAGCCACGCAGCTGAGCCCAGTCAAGCCACAGAAAAATCAGAAATAATAAATTGTTATCATTTTAAGCCTCAGGTTTTGAGGGGGCTTATTAAATAAGAATAAAATCTGTAACATTATCTTGACTTTATCGTCTTTAAAAGACCTCCTAATAACATTCTTTCAAACTAATAACCTGTATAGCTAACTGATGCTTTATTCAAGGAAAGATAATTTTCTAGGTTTCTTTGTATTTCTCCCATGTATTTTTATCAGGATTAAATTGTCATGTAAGCTTTTTAATGTTCCACTTGATTAATTCAATAGGTCTCTTTCATATCTCTTTTATTATACAGTTAAATGAGTTTTGTAAACTTTTGCATGCATTAACGGAACCTTTTAAAAATAAGTTTAGTGACCTAACAGCTTAATTTAACATAGGGAGTGGGTGGGCTCATTAGAGCTTCTGCTCCATGAAATTATTCCTGCCCTTGCCTTGATTCATGAAGGTAAATACTCCTATTTATTTTTGCTAATAGCTGTCAGACAAGTTGCTCTTGGTTTCACTTGATTATTTAGAGCTTTCATTTCCTTTAAACCTTAGTGAGAAAATGACACTATATTTCAGTTTATTGGCATTAATAAAAATGATGGTACTTCTTTTTAACTTAAGAAATTTAAATTATCATTTTACTGACATTTTAAATCTGTCTTTTAAAGTAACTTTGAGTGGCTCAAATTAACTTAATTTTTACTTAAATTATCATATTTATATTATAACTATGCTAATGAGAAGAACTTTCATGGAGTTTCAACTTAATTACTCCACAGAATCATCATAAATTTTATTGCAGTCATAGTAAAATCTGCATTTATTTTTAAAAGGGGGATTCTGATGCAAACTTCTTCCTTATTCTACTGTACACGATATGCTCACCCTAATGTTCACATGTTTGTTACTTCAAATGTTCCATAGTGACATGGAAACACATCACTTTTGGGAGCAACTTTAGCTTTTCCTTGACTATATGGAGTTGGGTTACTTCCTGATAGCTATTGTGTACCAGCCAGGACAACAAAATTGCTGGATATATTTAAAACTTCCTTTGCTATACGGGATGCAGCTACCTACGCATCTTTTTTATTTGTCCCCATACATGACATACTTTCCAAAACTACATGAGTACTTCTCTATAGTTCTGACATTTTTAAAAATAACATTCCTTAAATTGCCAAACAGATCCAATATAAAATTAGCTAACATTTGCCGCTTACTTACACTAAACTAGGGAGGTAATATAGAAGACAACTGTCATTTTCCTTATTTTAAAAAAAAAGTAAACAAAGCCTTAACAAGTTAAGAAATTTCACAAAGCTAATAAGTAATTACAGGAGACTGAAACCCAGGTCAAGCTGACACTTGAGCAAGTGCTCTGGGTCACACTACTGTCTCCATTATCGTTTAAAAACAGAGTGAAACCACACTATCCATGAAATATGTGCAGAAGGCTGAAAATCTAATTTAAAAATACCTACCAAAATAGTAATAACTGACACACTGCAAATTATTGCTGATTGCAATGTTTCAATATGCTCTCGAGTTCCATGGTATAGGACTTAGCCTCAACTGAGTTCTCTCTTCATAATAGCTTCCTTTGCTCCTTAGATGGAATTTAGGAACAATTATTCAAGATTGTCTGAGTGAATTTAATTACCTTTACGGTTTAATTGGAAGAGATATTTCTAATTTAAAAATATATAATAATTTTAGGGACTTGGCCAGCCACAGGCAAAAGTATAAATTATATTCAAAAACAAAACAGTAGCTTAATGTTTTTCAACTAGGGTAATTTTTCACACTCCCCAAGCCATATTTAGCAATGTCTGAGTATGTTTTTGCTTGTCACAGCTACAAGATACTATTTACATCTAGAATATAAAGGCCAAAAATGCTCCTAACATCTTACAATGTGCAACAAGAATTATCTGGCCCAAAATGTCATCATGCAGGGATTGAAACACTCTGAGGTAGTATGTTTAGCTCAAATGATCTTTTATGTCAAAGCTATAGAGATGGATTATTATAAGTAATTAAACTCATTGGTAATGTATTACCATTTGGAAAAAAAAATCATTTTCCATGTGAAATGTAAGAAAAAAATAGCTATAACCAATGCCATCTAAAGTTTTCAAAATCATAAGCATTTAAAGCTCAGATCATTTCACTTAAGTCAAACCCCCCCCCATGTTATCTAGATAGAGGTTTCACAGGCCCAGTAACCCAATTTTCTTATATGTGTTTACCCCAAGGATTTCCACAAAGCCTTCATTCAACTGAATAATTCAATAACCAAACCAATGATATCATCAGGATCGAGAAAAGCAGCATGGGGCAGAGTAGTACAAACATCTGTATGTGACTTGAAAACAAAGTCATGGAAGTGAACTTGAGACATCTTTCCTTCTTCCATGAAGCTCTTCAAGTAGTCTTCTATGTGAAGTGTTCTATAGTTTTCTAAATTCCCAAAAGTTTCTACCTTAATTAAACTCAAATTCTAAAATGCTCAATGCTCTGGGCACCATCTGTTTTATGCTTAGACCATAACCCCTGTGCCACAAAAATAAAAACACCAACCTGTGCCATGATTTTACAAAGCCACTTGGGTTCCACGAAATACAAGTCACTTAACTGCAGTGCTGGGTCTTGAAAATGAAGAAGGACTCCTGTAGTAAAAATTCATCAAACAGTGAAACATAGAATCTAGAACAAATATCAAGAGGCTTTAGAAAGAATTTAGTCCAATTTCCTCATCTTACAGGTGAAGAAATTTCAGTATAGTTAGTGGCAGAGCTGGGACTAGAAGCTGTGCATCCTATGGTCTAAAGTCCCAATATTATAACGGAGCATTTTTGAACTACATAAAATGATCAGAAGTAAGCATATTTGAGACACTGATATGCATTACAGAGCATATTTCACACATAAATAGAAATTCATAATTTTGTGTTTAGCTTGCTGAATAGACACTATGAAGACATGTCTTATTTTCAAATACAGATAAGAAACACAGCATATCTCAGAATATCTTAAGAAGGATGGGGAAAAGGAACAGATCATAATCCACAGGAACCTATTTTGTTAGACAACAGAATCTAGGGATCAAAAGAAGCTTCCAAGTCACTTCCTCAACTACTACCAAGCAACTCACATATTTCTAGCAAGCTAATATGATCAAGTACACAATTAGCAATGAAGTTGGTTTGATAATTTTTACTTTTGAGATCAATATTTGATGCAACAGAGCTAGATCTACCACTCAGCAGCTTGCATCATCTCAGGGAACCATTGATTCTCCAAGCATCCCACTTAAACCATTCCAACAATAATTCCCCTTTGCAATATAAAAATAACTCTCACATGCACTAAACTCATTTGACATTATGACAGATATGGCTGTGCACACGGTTCCACAGCTCCTGAATGGTAAAGGCAAGTTCTAGAACCCAAATGTTTTAACTTCCACTCAGAAACTCTTTCCACTACTTTACTCCTAGATAATTTCTAAATTTGTTTTCTTATGACATGATACATAATTCGACATTCACACACATGATGATCTTCCAAAAAGAAAAAAAGCAGTGGCCTATTAAAGAATTTTATGGATATTATCTCAACTTTGAATGTAAATGTTATTCAAGATTCAGAAACATTTTTATAAATTATTACAGCTGAGCTTTGAAAAAAAAAGAAACACACAAACCTGATTCATTTAGAAAGTGAACTGCATGAGGAAGTTCATTTTCATCTAACTGCAGCTGATTTTCTTTCACAAGTTGTAATAATCGTTTCTGGTCAATTACAGGAAATTCAATTGGCACATTTTTACGCTCTGATAAAATGATTTTCTCAAGTTCTACATAGCAATCTGGGATCAGCTGTCCAACAACAGGCTGATCTCGGATCTGTGAAATTACAAATGACAAACTGTAAAAATCTATTTTATTTGTGTATTTGTCAAATGGTTGGCAAATTCAGTGCTAATAGTTTTTACAGAAACAGATACATTATTCAGAAGTACATTTTTAAATAAAATCAAAATATAATGAAAAGCTATTTAGATTGTAAGAAATAAATACAATGAAATTAAAATAAGAAAACTGCTGATCCAGAGGCAAATTTGAAAATATCAAATAAAACAGCATGAAATATTTACCTTGCTATCCAGAAACTCCACAGCAAAAAAAAAGATAAATCACTAAGCATAAGAAATATTTTTTATTTTCTAAGACATTAAACTTAATGGGAAATAGACAAGATAGCATAAGATATTAGTACAAATTACAAGAGCTTTCGGACATTATTTTAAATAATCAAGGTAAAACATTAAATTTTGTGCTTGTTATTTGTAAAATGTTATATTGGTGAGACGTATTTATCAACAGTGAAACCTGGAGACATAAAATCGTACTCAAGCTATGTTTTTCATGGAAACTTTAACTTGGGAAAACAAGAAATCATATAAACACCAGTGATTCTGACAGGAGAGGATGATCATTCTAATCACTGCCTACAAAATAAGACATATACAAAATAGGATTTTTTAAAGAATGGCCTTAAAAAGATAGTTTCTACAATAAAAGTAATTTCCAAACATTTTTAAAAATATAATTTTAAATAGAAATGCAACTCTTAACAATAGTATCCAGAATGCCTGTAAGAACCACCAGATGGCAAACTCTCCCTATTTCTGAACCTATGAAAATTACATACTCTTTTTACCTGAAAATACCCATCTGAATTTCTGCTTAAATTCTTACACTTATTACAAATAGAAACTGAGCACACACAAACAAAAATGTACTTGCGCTTTTTCTACTTGTGACTAAAACTTTAAGGAGGCAGCCATAACCACTACTTCCATATTTACCTGCAAATGGTTACTCAAGAGACTGTTTTCATGCATCTCTTGATCCAGAGAATTAGTGATAATTTCACTAACCTTCACTTTTCATGTTCCCTCTCTTCATCATTCATAAATTAAGATGAAACAGAACTTCAGATTGAGGTTTATGTTTTAATCCAAAAGGGAATCTCCATATAAAAGTAAATAAGGGTTCTCAAAGAAAATAAATCAAGTAGAAACAGGATGAGTTTTACAGGACTAGGTCTCAAGGCCTACAGAGATGCCTGCTCTGCTAATGCGCTGGATGAGATTAAAAGGAGTATTGTCGGCATTGAACCCTGTTTTGTCCTGCTTCTCCTTTCAGCGTGATTATCAGTTCACTGATAGGCTGGGCCAAAAAATAAAACTTAAAGTGTCTGCACAGACAGATGTTAATGAGGTTGAGACAGGGAAAGATTAGAGAAGAGCTAAGATCAAAGGAAAAGATGAAAAATAAATGAGAGGACAAAAAAAATGATCTCTAATAGATTAAAACTGCTATTTGAATTCAGGTTGAAGCACCTTAGGGAAGAAAGAATTTTCACATTATGGCAGGCTCATAGGTCCTTGGTCATCTGAAAGAGTCACTCTTCTCCAAAGCAATCAAATGAGTTTTCAACCCATTATGCCAGAACGCTGCATCCATCAGCAATATATACTTTACTTTAAATAATACTGGTATTTCTCAAAGCATTTGTTTTAGTTTCTTATAAAAAGTTGTCTTCGGTCGGGCACAGTGGCTCACGCCTGTAATCCCAGTACTTTGGGAGGCCGAGGTGGGTGGATCACGAGGTCAAGAGATCGAGACCATCCTGGTCAACATGGTGAAACCCCGTCTCTACTGAAAATACAAAAAATCAGCTGGGCATGGTGGCGCATGCTTGTAATCCCAGCTACTCAGGAGGCTGAGGCAGGAGAATTGCCTGAACCCAGGACGCGGAGGTTGCGGTGAGCCGAGATTGCGCCATTGCACTCCAGCCTGGGTAACAAGAGTGAAACTCCGTATCAAAAAAAAAAAAAAAAAAAAAAAAGTTGTCTTCAAAGTTGACTGATAAGTGCCAAAAGAAAAACTGGTCTGATTTATTGATAATGATATCTATTAGACAAAAGCAGTATTAATATAGCCTAAAGTACCATCTTATCTGTGACTTTGCTTCAACTAAATTCAGGCCTTTTCAAAACAAACTCATTCTCCAACAAGTCTTTTTAAAGATCTGATACATTCCCTGACAGCAATGACAAAAAGAAAAACTATCAAACTATTCTCAGTAACAACAAAGTTTCTGAAGTATGGATATAGTTTCAGGGAAAAAGAAACCTGGATTAAGAGATTAACTGGAATAATACATTTTGTATATTTGTTTTTCTTTAAGTCATATTACTTTCTAACTGCATGTTCCACAAGAGAATAGGCAAATCTACAAATAAATAGTATGTCATTTTTACATGACACTAACATCTATCAATAAAACCTTTTAATAACTGTAATAAATGTGTGTTGAAGGTAACAAACATACAAATTCTCTCCCTGGGCACCACAAAACCCATCACTTTCACAAATGGATGATTAGGTTTTGGAGAGAAGTACACATAATCTATATAAATGTAACAGAACTAAGCTAACTGGCCAACATGGAGTTATAACCAAGGTGACCCTATAATTTATCATCCAAATTGGAATGCTTTTGAGAATATAATGGGACACTATTAATAATTATGCTGGGATTGCCTGGGCCAAATAGGTCTCTACTTATCAGCCAGGATCTAATCATTAGTGCTAATGAGGTAAGCCAGGAGAAACTAAGTGAAATTCATCATTATGTTTGCCATATTAAACTATCTAGGGGATTTTTGGTACAGTTTACACCACGCTCCCTGTAGAACCCAGTGAAGATTTCCTTTTCCTGCAAGAATTAAAAAAGAGAGTTCTCTCTGATAACTGATTTATTTATGTTTTATAAATATTTGGCTTACCAGAAGATAACTTTAGAAATGTACAACATAATTCCTAAAATGAAAAGCACAGTTCTGAAAGCCAAGTTAGTGGTTTTGATGACTAAAGGAAACAGCTGCCTCACAATACAGAGGGAAGAAAATTAGGATGAAAATCATAGTGACAAAATACACGGAGTGGCACAAAAGATCAAGATGTCCATAAAACATGAAGTCCAAAAGGAAGGAGCAGATGGAAAAATAACAGTCAAAAAATAAAAGAAGAAAGATGATCCCAAGGCCTCAGCATTCACCTTTACCCTTGTGGTTGAATCACTACTACAGGGAGATAGATGAGAAAGGGCATCAAAAACATTTTCTCAGGTTCTCTCTCAGAAACATTTTCTCAGTAACCCACAAATATTCTCTTAGTTTCTCTCAGGATTCTCTAATTATTTTTTATTCCCATTTCTATGAATTACAAATGAAGTCTGGTATAAAAAATTTAGAAATGGAAAGTCCTTAAAATGCTAACAGCAATGCGGAAAGAAACCCCACAATTTTAAAAGAGTTGCTCACTTCTCAAAACTTCTGGCATTTCTAAGCAGTGGCATGAGAATTAATAAATTACATTTCTCTACCAGCCTACCATGTTACCTTGAAATTAAGGCTCTCGTTTATGATGGTTTTCCGAAGTTTTGCCAAAGCATCAGATTCCTCGGTGGCATTCACAAAGTGGTAATCTCGGATGGCAGGGAACCCTCGCTTATTCAAGAGTTCCTTGGTGATTTTACTTATGCAGGCTTTGCGCTGCTTCTCATCAGAAACATCCGAATGTGTGCCAACGAGAATCACTGGAGAGGAAGAAGCACGAGCCTACAGGGAAGGACACAAAACGCTCTTGTGTTTGCTTTAAAATTGGGCCTGCTTACATTCCTGTTGATATTTGCTTTCCGTGACATTCACTTGAGTGGTAAAGAGAAACTAACAGACTTCAGAAGAAGAAAAGAACAATTGCCCTTTTTTCCTTAAAGCTAAGAAAAAAATATAACCTTAAGACATTTTAAAAAGTCATTTTGAGGGCCTTCTTAATCCAATTCTTATTCCTTTTATGTGGCCTATGTAATAGTAGTAGCATAGTTTTCCTTTCTCATTTTTGTGCCTTAAAATGAGTTATTCGCTAAGCACCTCCTAAACAAAATAAGCATTTCATAAACCCACAAATTATATCAAATTAATGTCATACAGTTTATATTTTCTCTTCCTAATCTTCGAATTTAATCTTCTAAATTCATTTTAAAGTCATTCAATTTAGAGTCTATAATGGAAGAAGAAAAGCCACTGGAGCAAATATTACTGCCCCATCTACACTAAAAGTACAAAAATTAGCTGTGTATGGTGGCAGGACCTGTAATCCTAGCTACTCAGGAGACTAAGGCAGGAGAACCACTTAAACCCAGGAGACAGAGGTTGCAGTGAGCCAAGATCAAGCCACTGCACTCCAGCCTGGGCCACAGAGAGATCTGTCTTAAAAACAAAAACAAAAAGAAAGTATTTAAAGAAATTGAAGCAATTTTTTGCCCAAAATAATTTACTTTACACACAGAAACAGGCGCGCGCACACACACACACTTGAATTATTTTCTATTTTCAAATGATAAAAACAAATCACCTTTATATTAAAGAGCCAAGGCTTCATGGCATCAACTTCAGCCTGTCCTTTGCTGAGGTCATAGACAGCAAGATACAACGCTCGCTGGGTCATAAAATGCGGATGAGTACTATAGAATTCCTCACGACCTAAATAAAGATTAGAGACGGATTTTTTAAATCTTTCAAACAACAAGCAAGAATCCTTTAAAAAAATAATCTGGGGGAATAATACTATTTATTATTTACCATACTAAAAAGAGAAAAATAACAGACAATGTTTAGAGAACTATTCTGGGTTTACTAGGGACTGACCATTTTTTAGCAGATGTGTCAGCGACTGATCAGAGCACCTAGCACTGAACTGTTACCAACAGATCCCTCCATATTCTTCTCCATTCTGGGGGTAGGCGTAAAATGAGGAGAAGTGAAGGGCTTTGGAATAATTCCATACAGTCTACCAGCTTTCAGGATATTAGAACAGAAAGCTCAGCTTGTGAATCCCTGTTTATAACAAGTGGTAAAAGTGAATTTTAAAATTCTATAGAAATACCTGCAAAATCCCACACATTTAGAATGAGGTCTCTCTTTCTTTTGCCTCTTATTTGAATAGGCCAGTCTTTCACATCTATGCCAACTGTGGCACTTTGCATTCCAAGATCTGATTTCTTGATTTTCATTAATTGCTGCAATAAAGTGGTTTTACCACTCCCAGTATTTCCCACAATCATAAGTTTCATTCGGTTATAGGGTACAGCCTTTTTTAACCGCTGTTGAAGAAACCTAGTATTTGAAAGATAAAAATAAAATAATAAACTGCTTAAGTACACTTGAGATTTGAGTTGTTTTGCATGTCACACTATTCTAAAATATAGTTTCCAAAAGAGTGCATAGCTCATATAACTAATAATGTACATGCCTTTCAGTGTATTGTTAATGCATATATTTTGCTAGAGATTTTAGTGTAGTTGATAGTGTTTGGTAGAATTGCCAATATAACATGTTACACTATCACCAGAAATAATCAAAAGGCCAAAATATGTTTCCAATACTAATCAGCATACAATATGCAATATATATATACATCTATATATACACACATGTACATACACATGTGTATACATATTTGAATTTCTTTTAATAGTATGAAAAACCTTATAAAGTATAAAATTTCACAAATTCCATATGACATAAAAACAAGGCAGAAATCTGTATACTGTAATAATAAACCTTGATAAGGTCATATTAGTTATATATGTGTCTATATGGTCATATATAGAATATATGATGTATAGATAGATATCACATATGCATATAATAGTATATATGGATAGTGAGGTCATATTACATCATACATAAATAAATATAAACTATTATACTATCAGCAGATGTTAACATGCTTTCATTCCTAATGATGTTAACGTAAAATCTGAACTAAATAGAAGTGTTTAGGTAGCTAAAAAACCACCTTTAAACTAATAGTAGATTTAAAGTGTTATCAAAAATATAATAAATATAGAAAGATATATTTTGAAATATGTTAAAGTGTTGCCACAGTTTCAAATTAGAGAAAAGCTAAATCAAAAATGAATTTTACATTGGAGTAGTGACCAGTCCATGCCTATAACTAATAAGAATCTGACCAATATTTCCGATGATATGATCGAAAAGCAACATTACTTTTCTTGACTTTTTATTTCTTAAGACGGCAGCACTATTGAAATATGTCATTCTTCAAAAAGCAAATGATGCCTTCAATTTCTAATCCACTCTAGGTCTTTCTGTCTTTTCTGAAAATCTTAAACATGTTTACAATATTTAGCATATTTAGTTATGTAGCTTTATAATACAGCATAATACACTGAAAGCTAGTTCTGCTAAATGTTTAGTAAGAATTGAACCAATTTTTATATGGCCAAATTTTTCACTTTCAAGAGGGAAAAATAATTGTGTAAAATGAAGGGTAGTCACATTTAGCACAAAAGTTAAAGTATTTCCTTTACAATGAAATGAAGCTCGAGAATTCAGAAAACCAAATCCTTCCTCATAAAAAGATATGAAGTTAAATATAAATTTAAGAGACTTTGGGCAGAAGAGAATGAGTAAGTATAAAACATTGGTAATTAAACAACTATTAATTTTATGCCAGGCACTGTGTTTGGTGCCAAGATTTGAATAGTGAGTGAACACAGCCATGGTCTCTGCCTTGGTGCACATTACAGTCTAGTTGGGAGGTGATGACAGAGCTGAGGTCTGCAATGTTAATACACTAACTGTGGGAAAGGGAGCAAAGGATTTTATGAGAAAATAATAAGATCAATGTGCTGAAAGGGAACAAAAAGTGGGATAAAATCCATTATTAAAGATAGTTAAAGTATTTCAAGTGTAAAGACCAGAAACAGTGATACTTCAGAAGTTTTGGTGGTTTCAGAACCGATCAAGGTGAGTAGATGACTCATCCTAATGGGCAAAATAGAAGTTAGTAATTTCACTTGATGTCAGTAACTATAATGCTTTAAGATGTAAGACGCATATGTTTACTAGTTGCTATATGAAACGCGGTGCGATAAGTTATTACAATGTGCTGTATTTCTTTAGATTGTGTAATTGGTAACAAGAGACCAAATAACAATACGTGTTTTCTTTTAGAGTCTACTCCACTAAAAAGAAAGAGAAGGCAGAAAAGTCACTCTCAACATTACCTGGCTAAGAAGAATGAAAAATCTCTACAGTGGCATCACAGAAACACATTCACTAAATGTGAATGGCATATTAATGTCCAATATTACTACTGATTTTTCCCTAAAGCATAACAATACATGTCCATCAAAGTCACAAAGTGGAAATCTGAAATAAATTTGATAAATTTGATAAAAACAAATAAAAATAAAATTATCTAACCTTATGATGTCTTTGGCTTTACATCCTATGTGTTTAAAATCAAAGTTAAGATGCAGTTCATCCAAAGGAAGGTCCCATATTTTGCTTAATTTCCCCATTTCATTGGGAAAGGATCTTAGTTCCAAGTTGTAACTGACATCCAGAGATGTCAGATTTTCAAGACAGCCAATCTCAGGAGGAATCTTAATGGAATAAAAAAGGGCAAAACCTGTTGGTGGGAAGTAAGAAATGCATTCTGCCAAAAAGTAAGACGATAAGCAACAAGAGAGGCTCACAGATTCCATCAGCAGCTTGCACAACCTTTCAACGGAGTTCTAAAACTTTCCAAAGGCTTGTCAGAAGTTGTCAGTTATGTGTTTAAAAACATAAAAACTTACATCTAAAACCTTACTCCCAAACAATCTACGTCACTCATCTGTAATCTTTAAAAACCCAATCTCCTTTGGTAACATACATCATCTCTTCAAGACATAGAAAGTAAGGAAGTTCTCACTACAAAATGGATTTGGTTATCCAAATCCATTATCTGTGGCTTCATTCTGCTCCTTCAGCAAAGGCAGGAAAACCCAGTCATTACAAACTTGCATGCAACTTAGTGTTCTCAAAGTGCGGGGACATGCTTATAATTTAGGTGGCATACTAATTGGAGTGATTTCTTCTCTGTTCAGATCTTTAAGCAATATATATTATAATAGAAAATGCTCCTTTGCTGACAAAAATTCAGGCAGCAAAATATATCCACAGTTTTTCTGAACCGCACAGTGTCAGACACTTAATTCTTTTGGTTTTTGTAGGCAATATGCTAGAACTTGAAAAAAATATTTTCTAAGACAAACAGAGTATCAATTTCTGATTTATAATAGATGGAATGGAGCAAAACAAAGGAGGTTGATCCACTGGGGTGATACGTAGCATGGTGGAACAATGCAGAAATTTAAAAATGTACCAAAGAAAGGTGAAAAACAAGTAATAAAGTATACAGGCCAGCAACAACTTGAGAAAAATGGAGTATCTGAGAGTCTGTTAACAGATTGGACAGAGATTTAGTGATATGATGACCCACAGCATCATATTAATTTATAATTACATATATTCATATAATCCTTCAAAAATATAGCACAAAAGTAATTTTTTAAGGAAATTAGGCTGTGTTACTAAATCCATTTACCATATGGTAGGCTTACAGCTTAAAAAATGAAAGACTCAAATGATATTGATACTTACAATGCTCATTTTGAATTTATAGTTATTAAATGACATCATTACTATTCCATAGAACACTCTCTATGAGCTAGTACCATAAAGAATACTTTTCATTATACTACCCTGTGTATTAGTAAAGTGTTCAAAGCTGTTTTGCCATAGTTAATTAAGAGTAATTTGAGTTAATCTATAATATGTTAGATGATAACATCACACAGAATTTGAAACGAATATTCTAATAATTTTTACTTAGTTCAAATGTTGAGTAGATATATTTATATCTAGCTGTTTAGCTTTTAGATTAAAAGGTTATGATAAATATAGCATATTGTTTTATTGTTTAGTGGAAGTATTAAGGCTATTACCTTATTTTTTAAAGTAGGTTTTTAAAAATTGCCAGTGTGAGAATGGATATATTAAATCAAGTGACACACCATTGGTAGCTATTTTTATTTTTGAATGGAAATCTGGATTTACAGCCAACAGGAATTTAACAGGAAGCTTCTGGTTTCTTAAAACTGGTATTTAGAATACTAAATATCATTTAAAATGATAATTTGTGATGATGCAAATCATGAAGTATATATTTTAAGTGGCAATAATTTTAAAGGTAACCTCTTACCTCTTTCAGTTTATTGTGAGAAAGATGTAGTTTCTCTACTCTAGACCATAAATATGCTTTTTCACTCAAGTCCAGGATGCTGATCTGATTATGGCTAAACAATAGTTCCCTTAAGTTCAAAGACTTCCAGTGTGCAGGACCTGGTAGATACTGAATATCATTGCTGCTCATATCTAAAGACCGCAAGCTAAAACAATACAATGGAAAGATGCAAACCAAATGAGTATTTCCAAAATACATGAAATCATATCACAAATAATTTTCCCCACAGTGAGAATAAGGTATAACATCAAAACTAGCATTATTGACATATGAGTATGCATGTGAGTTGAAAGTCTTAAATTGAACCACCAGTGTTGAAGAACCAGGACCCTGGGCAAGTTACTTTATCTCTTATAAAGTGGCAATAATAACAATGACTATCTTAGGGGATTATTAGGAAGATTAAAGAGATGAACCACTGTAGAGTTGTTAGGCATATTCTAAACAGTTCGGCATATTCTAAAGCCAAATGAAAGTTCTAGCTATTATAGGTTTGTATCACACTTTCTATGGCTAAATTGTAATTATTATTTGCCTAAATATGTATCTATTTACACATATACTTTTATGAATTTGGTTTATCATGTATGATATAATTAGAATAGCATTTAAGATGGCCACACACTCAAGTTCGAATTAATGCCTGAATTTATAGTTAACCAAAAGGTTCTGGTTTCATGAAATTAACCAAAATACCTCAAAAACCTGGAACTACATAAACTTTCCTAATCTTCACCCAAAATTTCACTCAAACATAACTTAAGCATAATGTCAAAATTAAGGGTGTTTAGGCAACATATCAAGATTCATAAACAAAATTTTAAAAGTTAAAGTGATAACCAGTATAATCTCATTTCATTATACTAATATGTCAATTAATTAAACAATTCTAAGTGTTTTTTACACAATAATCCACTAAATTAATATAAACATTTCAATTTTAAGTCATTAGTTGGGTCTTTTATCTAGTGAAAATTATTCATATGTACAAAAACATTAAGCTGAGTAGGTTCAGGAATCAATTACCCCTATATGACTAAATCGAAATCATGTTTCTAAACGTTCTGTTCCAGCTGATGTGCTTTTAAAATTAACGTAACAATAAACTTACTGTGGAAGATTTAAAATTGCTTCTGGAATACATGTAAATTTGTTCTGAGATAATTTTAGGCTTGTCATGGAAGAAGGCAAGAAAGGTATAGCAGCTAAAAGAAAACAAAAATGAGATCAACATTTTAATCATTCAAGCCAGATGTCCATTAAATTAAAAAATAAGAACTACCAATGGTGTGTTGCATAATTTACTTTCCCTTCTCACACTGATAATTTTTTAAAATCCACTTTTAAAATGAAGGTAATAGCCTTAATACTTCCACTAACCAATAAAACAATATGCTATGCTTATCAGAACCTTTTAATCTGAAAGCCAAACAGCTAGATATAAATTTATCTACCCAACATTTGTACAAAGTAAAAATTATTAGAATGTTCATTTCAAATTATATGTGATACATAGATTAGCTCAAATTACTCTTAAATAACTATAGCAAAACAATTTTCCACACCTTATTAATAAACAGGATAGTATAAGGATAGAAATTTTTTATGGTACTAGCTCAGAAAGAATGTTCTATGGGATAACAATGGGTATTATTTAATAAAATTATTCTTTGATCATATAATCTTAAGAGATTGAGAAATATTAGATAAAATAAATTAAATGTCTGAGTTCTCAATACTCTGGTGGATTTTGTGAATTTTTAAGAAGGAAATGAAATATGAGGTACCTCCAAGAAATAAAATTCTGTGAAACACAATTTGGGAAATAGAAAATCATAAGAGTTCTGTTTTCTCATCTATAAGAGTGCAGCTAGATCAGATGAATGCTGAGATATTTGAGAGATCTACAAATCTATAGTTCTGTGAAAATGGCTTGAGGAATTAGTTCATAGCATTTTCAAGGTTAAAAATATGGGTTACGCTTTATCCAGACAATCTTGAAGGGTCAAAACGTTCCAGAACACTCCTAGAAGCTCTTTCTGAGAAGCAGAAAGATACATTATGCTTCACCTATTGACAAAATAAATGAGCAGAAATGATTCTCCACTTAAGACTTCAGAGTCTTGAGTTTCATATGCTGTATGAAAAAAATCCATAAGATCACAAAACTAAAATTTTAGTTTACATGGACCTGTTTTTTTTTTTTTTTAGATGGAGTTTCACTCTGTTGCCAGGTTGGAGTGCGGTGGCGCAATCTTGGCTCACTGCAACCTCTGACTCCCTGGTTCAAGTGATCCTCCTGCCTCAGCCTCCCATGTAGCTGGAATTACAGGAACACACCACTATGCCCAGCTAATTTTTGTACTTTTAGTAGAGAAAGGGTTTCACTGTTAACATGAAATTATTTTTAATGGTTAGTGGTCCTGCTCAGATATCACCTCCATAGAGCATCTTCTCAAATGTAAGACCCCATTTCTCAAACTATCAAGATTGTGTAGTGCAAAGCAATCACATTTTTGAACTGAGATATTCAAACTTTCATGAGCTAATTAATTGCATGCACTTGTAAACATCATACAAAATCTCACTGCTTCAATTTCCTCAACTGGGCAGAGGTCATACCCCTCCCTAGGTATGACCATTAGGGTCACTGTGAGATACGGCTAGGATGACACACTGACCATACACCAGCTTCATGGTCCTTTTGGATGCTCTTCTTTCCATACCCAACTTAAATATCACAGTCATAGAAATGCTTCCCCATGAAGCACAGCCTGAATCAGATTCTCCCGAGGTATCACAAAGCATCATGAAACTTTTCTACAAAAAGTACCACAATATAAAATTACACTCATTTGTGCCATCATTTCTTTTTTGTCTGTCCTCTGAGCTTAATCACAAGTTGCTTAAGGACAGAGACCGAGTTTGCTTTGCTTACTAGTGAGTGAGTGAGTCATTCTATCCCCAGTTCCAGGCTTCTGGTTAGAATGTGGCCAATATCTATGAGAGCAGGAGGAAGAGAGGGAGGGGCAAAGGAGGAAAATACTACGCAAATTAAGATGGCTTTGATCATTATTAATTTCTGAAGGCTCTGACAAATTAAAATTTTATGATATGTCAAACCACATTATATTAAATATTATATTAAAATATGCTATTGTGTCAAGCCATATTATGCTACTAAAAATTATTTTACTGACTCAGGCATAGAATAATCATGTGGTTTGCAAAATGTGAGTATTCTCTACAAAAGAAGATAAAATATAGGGAATTCCTGTTTATTGTCATAAAAGTACTTTGTTCCTTAATATTAAAATGTTCAGTTAGGATACAAATGAACATAATTTCCTCTATTACTTCATATACTAAGAGAATGCAGGGGATTCTACAACTTTTAATAAAAGGGATGATAATAATTTTCATTATTGTAATGCCTTGAAAAGCATAAGAGCTGAAATAATATACATTTAATTCACTAAATTGAAAACTATTAAATGATTAATTTTATTTTTAACAATAGCAATAAGAGTAATCACATTTATCATACAAAAAATTGCCGAAGAAACCTCAGTATGAAAAACACTATTTCAGTTTAACAATATTATTTCAGAAAAGCAATATTTCTGTATATTTCGGCTCAGTTTTAGTTTTAAACTAAACATGCGCATGGCTGCCTTACCCAGCTCAGGCAGCCATGAGCATATTTAGTGTAAGACCAAAAGGAACCACAGTGTACTACCCAGTAGGCCAAGTAACTATCATTTTAACCTCTGACAATAAAAATGTGCTAACTTTTTAAAATTATAGGCTGTTTTTAGGGCAGCTTTAGATATACAGAAAAATTGAGCAGGCAGTATAGAGACTTTCAATATATCCCTTCTCCCCTCACCACCACCCCCCCACACACATTTTCCTCTGTTATTAATGATTTGTATTAGTTTGGCACAGCTGTTTCAATGATGGGCCAATATTTAACCCATCATTATCACTCAAAGTTCACAGTTTGCCTCAGGGTTCGCTCTTTGTACTGTATATTCTATGGGTTTTGACAAGCGTAAAACTGCACGTATCCCTCATTATAGTATTGTACAAAACAGTTTCACTGCCCTAAAAACCATCTGTCCTTTACCTATTCACCTCTCCCTCCCTCAACCCCTGACAACAACTGACCTTTTTAATGTCCTCATAATTTTGTCACTTCCATAATGTCTTATAGTTGGGAACGAAGGGTATGTAGCCTATTCAGATTGGCTTCTTTCACTTAGCAATATGCATTCATGTTTCTTTCATGTCTTTTTTTTTTTGTACTTTAGATTCTGGGGTACAGGTGAAGATCAGACAAGATTGTTGCATAGGTATATTTGTGGCAAGGTGGTTTGTTGCCACCATCCCCCTATCACCTATACATAACATTTCTCCCCACGTTATCCTCTTCCATGCTCTCTCCCACTACCCCTTCCATAGCCACCCCCAAAGGACTCCAGTGTGTGATGCTCCCCTCTTTGTATGCAAGTGTTCTCATTGTTCAACACCCATCTATGAGTAAGAACATGTGGTGTTTGATTTTCTGTTCTTGTGTCAGTTTGCTGAGAATGACGGTTTCCAGGTTTATCCATGTCCCTACAAAGGACACAAACTCATCGCATCTTTTCTTATGGCTGCATAGCATTCCCTGGTGTATATGTGCCACATTTCTTTGTCCAGTCTATCCTTGATGAGGATTTGGGTTGGTTCCAGGTCTTTGCTATTGTAAACAGTGCCACTATGAACATACGTGTGTATGCGTCTTTAAAACAGAACGATTTATAGTCCTTTGGGTATATACCCAGTAATGAGATTGCTGGGTCAAATAAAATTTCTATTTCTAGATCCTTGAGGAATCGCCACACTGTCTTCCGCAACAGTTGAACTAATTTACGCTCCCACCAACAGTGTAAAAGTGATCCTATTTCTCTACATCATCTCCAGCATCTGTTGTCTCTAGATTTTTGATCGCCATTCTAACTGGCGTGAGATGGTATCTCAATGTGGTTTTGATTTGCATTTCTCTAATGACAGGGATGATGAGCATTTTCTCACATGTTTGTTGGCTTCATATATATCTTCTTTTGGAAACTTTTCATATTCTTCGTTCTCTTTGGGATAGGTTTGTTTGTTTTTTTCTTGTAAATCTGTTTCAGTTCTTTGTAGATTCTGGATATTAGCCCTTTGTCAGATGGGAAGATTGCAAAAATTTTTTCCCATTCTGTTGGTTGCTGGTTCACTCTAATGATTGTTTCTTTTGCTGTACAGAAGCTCCAAAGTTTAATTAGATCCCATTTGTCTATTTTGGCTTTTGTTGCCATTGCTTTTTGGCGTTTTAGCCATGAAGTCCTTGCCTATGCCTATGTCCTGAATGGTTTTGCCTAGGTTTTCTTCTAGGGTTTTTATAGTGTTAGGTCTTATATTTAAGTCATTAATCCTAAAATTAACCTAGAGTTAATTTTAGTATAATGTGTCAGGAAGGGATCCAGTTTCGGCTTTCTGCACAGTGCTAGTCAATTTTACCAACACTATTTATTAAATAGGGGATCCTTTCCCCATTGCTTGTTTTTTGTCAGGTTTTTCAAAGATCAGATGGTGGTAGATGTGTGGTGATGCTCCAGAGGCCTCTGTTTTGTTCCATTGGTCTATGTATCTGTTTTGATACCAGTGCCATGCTGTTTTGATTACTGTTGCCTTGTAGTATAGCTTGAAGTCCCGCAGCATAATGCTCCCAGCCTTGTTCTTTTTGTTTAGGATTGTCTTGGCTATGCAGGCTTTTTTTTGGTTCCATATGAAGTTTAAAGTGGTTTTTCCAGTTCTGTGAAGAAGGTCATTGGTAGTTTGATGGGGATAGCATTAAATCCATAAATTACTTTGGGCAGTATGGCCATTTTCACAATATTGATTCTTCCTAACCATGAGCATGGAATGTTTTTCCATCTGTTTGCGTCTTCTCTTATTTCCTTGAGCAGTAGTTTGTAGTTCTCCTTGAAAAGGTCCTTTACCTCCTTTGTTAGTTATATTCCTATGTATTTTATTCTTCTCATAGTAATTGTGAATGGAAGTTCACTCTTGATTTGTCTCTCTATTTGTCTGTTATTGGTGTATAGGAATGCTTGTGATTTCTGCACACTGATTTTGTATCCTGAGGCTTTGCTGAAGTTGCTTATCAGCTTAGGGAGAGTTTGGGCTGAGATGATGGGTTCTTTAAATATACAATCATGTCATCTGCAAATAGAGACAATTTGACTTCCTACTTTCCTAATTGAATACCTTTCATTTCTTTTTCTTGCCTGATTGCTCTGGCTAAAACTTCCAAAAATATTGAATAAGAGTGGAGAGAGAGGGCATCCTTGTCTAGTGCCAGATTTCAAAGGGAATGCTTCCAGTTTAAGCCCATTTATTATGATATTGGCAGTGGGTTTGTTGTAAATAGCTTTTATTATTTTGTGATAGGTTCCATTGATACCTAGTTTACTGAGAGTTTTTAGCATAAAGGGCTATCGAATTTTATCAAAGGCCTTTTCTGTATCTACTGAGATAATCATGTGGTTTTTGTCTTTGGTTCTATTTATTTGGTGGATTACATTTACGGACTTGCGTATGTTGAACCAGCCTTGCATCCCTGCGATGAAGCCTACTTGATCATGATGGATAAGCTTTTTGATGTACTGTTGCAATCAGTTTGTCAATATTTTATTGAAGATTTTTGTGTCTGTGTTCATCATGGATATTGGCCTGAAGTTTTCTTTTTTTGTGGAATCTCTGCCAGGTTTTGTTATCAGGGTGATGTTGGTATCATAAAATGATTTGGGAAGGATTCCTTGTTTTTGGATTGTTTGGAATAGTTTCAGAAGCAATGGTACCAGCTCCTCTTTGTATGTCTGGTAGAATTCAGCTGTGAACCTGTCTGGATCTGGACTTTTTTTGTTTGGTATGCTGTTAATTGCTGCCTCAACTTCAGCCCTTTTATTGGTCTATTCAGGGTTTCAACTGCTTCCTGGTTTAGTTTTGGTAGGGTGCAAGTGTCCATGAATTTATCCATTTCTTCCAGGTTTACTGGTTTATGAGCATAGAGTGGTTTGTAGTAATCTCTGATGGTAGTTTGTATTTCTGGGGGATTGGTGGTGATATCCCCTTTATTGTTTTTTGTTGCATCTATTTGATTCTTCTCTCTTTTCTTTTTTCTTATTCTGGCTAGCAGTCTGTCTACTCTGTTGATCTTTTTGAAAAAACTAACTCCTAGATTTACTGATTTTTTTGAAGGGTTTTTTGTGTCTCTATCTCCTTCAGTTCTGCTTTGATCTTAGTTATTTCTTGCCTTCTTCTAGCTTTTGAATTTGTTTGATCTTGCTCTTCTAGGTCTTTTAATTTTGATGATAGGGTGTCGATTTCAGATCATTCCTCACTTCTCTTATGGGCATTTATTGCTATAAATTTCCCTCTAGACACTGATTTAAATGTGTCCCAGAGATTCTGGTAAATTGTGTCCTCATTCTCATTGGTTTCATAGAACATCTTTATTTCTGCCTTCATTTCATTGTTTATCCAGTCAACATTCAGGAGCCAGTTGTTCAATTTCCATGAAGTTGTGCAGTTTTGAGTTAGTTTCTTAATCCTGGGATCTAATTTGATTGCACTGTGATCTGAGAGACTGTTTGTTATGATTTCCATTTTTTTGCATTTGCTGAGGAGTGATTTGCTTCCCATTATGTGGTCAATTTTAGAGTAAGCGTGATGTGGTGCTTAGAAGAATGTATATTCTGCGACTGTCGGGTGGAGAGTTCTGTAGATGTCTATTAGGTCCTCTTGTTCCAGTTCTGCATTCAAGTCCTGTATATCCTTGTTGATTTTCTGTCTCATTGATCTCTCTAATGTTGACAGTGGAGTGTTAAAGTCTCCCACTCTTATTGTGCAGGAGTCTTAAGTCTCTTTTTAGGTCATTAAGAACTTGCTTTATGTATCTGCATGCTCCTGTATTGCATGCATATATATTTAGGATAGTTAGCTCTTCTTGTTGTATTGATCGTTTCAACATGGTATAGTTTCCTTCTATGTCTCTTCTGATCTTTGTTGGTTTAAATTTGATTTTATCAGAGACTAAAATTACAACCCCTACTATTTTTTGCTCTCCATTTGCTTGGTAGATCTTCTTCCATCCCTTTATTTTGAGTCTATGTGTGTCTTTGCATGTGATATGGATTTCCTGGATACAGCACACCAATGGGTTTTGACTTTTTACCCAGTTTGCCAGTCTGTGTCTTTTGATTGGGGCATGTAGGCCATTTACATTTAACGTGAATATTGTTATTTATGAATTTGATCCTGCCATTTTGTTACTTTTTTTTTTTTTTTGCCCACTGGTTGACTCAGTTTCCTGATTGCATTGATGATCTTCACCATTTGGTTGGTTTTTGCAGTGACTGGTACTGGACGTTTTTTCTGTGTTTAGTGCTTCCTTCAAGAGCTCTCATAGGGCAGGTCTGGTGGTGACGAAATCTCTCAGTAATTATTTGTCCATAAAGGATTTTATTTCTCCTTCACTTATGAAGCTTAGTTTGGCTGGATATGAGATTCTGAGTTGAAAGTTCTTTTCTTTAAAGATGTTGAATATTGGTCCCCACTTTCTTCTGGCTTGTAGGGTTTCTGCCGAGAGATCTGATCTACTGTGAGTCTGATGGGCTTTCCTTTCTTGGTGACCTGAACTCTCTCTGGCTGCCCTTAGCATTTTTTCCTTCATTTCAACCCTGGTGAATCTGATGATTACGTGCCTTGGGGTTGCTCTTCTTGAGGAGTATCTGTGGTGTTCTTTGTATTTCCTGTATTTGAATGTTGGCCTGCTTTGCTAGATTGGAGTTCTCCTGGATAATATTTTGAAGAGTGATTTCCAGCTTGGATTCATTTGCCCCATCCTCTCCAGGTACCCTGATCAAGCATAGATTAGGTATTTTCACATAATCCCATGTTTCTTGGAGGCTTTGTTCATTTCTTTTCACTCCTTTTTCTCTTTTCCTGCCCTCTCTTTTTATTTTGTTGAGTTGATCTTTGATCTCTGATATCCTTTCTTCCGCTTGATCAATTCGGCTATTGAACCTTGTGTAGGCTTCACGAAGTTCTTGTGCTGTGTTTTTCAGCTCCATCAAGTCATTTATGTTCTTCTCTAGACTGGTTATTCGAGTTAGTATTTCATCTATTCTTTTTTCAACGTTCTTGGTTTCTTTGCATTGGGTTAAAACATGTTCTTTTAACTCAGAGAAGTTTGTTATTACCCACATTCTTAAGCCTGCTTCTGTCAGCTCGTCAAAATTGTTTTCTGACCCGTTTTGTGGCCATGCTGGTGAGTTGTTGTGATCTCTCTGAGGAGAAGGGGCTTTCTGGACTTCGATGTTTTCATCCTTTTTACACTGATTTCTTCCCATCTTTTGTGAGTGGATGTCCTTTCTGTTAAAGTTGGGGTTATTTCTCCTGTATGAGGCTTTTTTTTTTCCTAAACACAGGTGTCAGTGTGCCACTTGAGACAGTCTGTCTGTTGTGTATGCTTGTGGAGGCGCTGCTGGGCTGCCTTGGTCTCAGCCACGCTGCTATTTATTCTTTGCCTGGTTTCTGTAATGGCGGGGTTAGCCCCACCTTCCCAACGGCAGGCTCTTTCCCTCTGCTGAGCCTGCTGTTCCCGGGTGGAGGATGCGTCAACTGTGAAACTCTCCTGTGAGAGGGACTCCGGTTGCTGGATCTTGTCAGGGAGGGGCCTGTCTGGTCGTATTCCCATCCTGCTTTCAACTCTCCCTTCTGTGAGACGGGCAGTTCCTTTTTGCAAGCTTTCTCAGTATTAGTCCAAATCTCCACCCTGGTCTGCGTTAACAAGGCACTGGTCTGGCCGGGGCTGCCAGCCAGGGCTGTTGCTTGGGTGTGAGACTCTGGGTAGTTCTCAGCAAGGCAGCGTTTTCCTGGTCTGTATGCTGCCAAAGTCTCAGAGCAAATTGCTCTATGTGATTCAGAGAACCAAGAAGGTGATACCCCCTGATCCTCTGTGCCTGATACACTTTCCGGGTGGGGCACTGCCCCACCTTGCCTTGGTTGGACACCTTTGGGCTGCTTTCACTGCCATTTTTGGGGGGGTTAATCCTGCTGTTCAACCAGTCCTTTTACAACAAAACCAGTACCTCACTCGGAAATGCGAATATTGCTCTGGTTCTGTCTCACTGGGTAGTAGCTGCACTCCGGAGAAGCTGCCTTTCGGCCATCTTCCCTTGAATCCCATGTCTTTTCATAGTTTGATAGCATTTCTTTTTATTGCCAACCTGCTAACTTTATTTTTTAAATCCAGCATCATTTTTAAACTGAAATACCACCTTTAAATCCCCACCAAAAGGTCCATATATGACTCATCTTGTACAAATTAGAAGGCCTGGTAAGGAGGAGACCCACACAGAACACTTACCAAGAAAATTCATTCTGGCACTGAAACTCTCCACTTTAGGACAAGCCTCAAGAAAGTTCTCTGATAGGGATGAAATGTGATTTTTACTAAGGTTTAAAATCTTCAGTTCCTTCAGTCTCAAGGGGGAGCATATTCCTGATATTTTATTTCTAGTCACAAAAGACAAGATAATGATTATATTGCATACATTCATATGCTTTAAAGAAAAAATACCAAAAACAATTTGCTTTCAAAGAATAGCATCAAAGAAGATTCATTAATTTAAAAATTAGTTGTGAAAATATAAGTCAATTGATAAAAGTTGTAATGTTCATTGCCTCAGTCTTTTATTTTATCTGTATACATAAAGACAGAGAGAAAGAGGGAGAGTCTCAGTCTGTCACCCAGGCTGGAGTGCAATGATGCAATCTTGACTCACTACAACCTCCGCCTCCCAGATTCAAGTGATTCTCATTCCTCAGCCTCGAAGTAGCTGGGATTACAGGTGCAGGCCACCATGCCCGGCTAAATTTTGTATTTTTAGTAGAGATGAGGTTTCACCATGCTGTTAAACTCATTGCTATAGCAATGTCAGCATATTTTGTTAACATCAGCATATTTAGTCAACCCTTTAATCTTTAATGAGCTCTTTCTTACCCTTCTAAAATGAGCTGCTCCAGCCTCTCTACCACATCAGCAACATTTTCAGGAACAGAAGACAGCTGGTTATATGATAGGTTAAACTGTTTCAGAGTTGGACATTTCACTGCAGGATCTAAAACCACTGAGGGTCCAATGTCATTTCGAGAGACATCAAGGTTAGCAATGCAATTCATTTTCAACAAGTAAGAAGGAAATGATGTAAATTTATTACTGTGCAAGTCCAAATGTGTCAAACTCTTCAGAATCTGAAAAGACAATAGTTTAAAATTCTAAAGTGAACCATCTGAGGAACTTAAGTCTAGCTAATATTTCTGCATTACACACCTCTGGTAACTAGAACCATCAAGAATTTTCAAAAAGCTGAAAACACAATCCACAGTAGAATTTCAGTATGCTGATTGGCCCAATTGTCTCTGCTTATAGCATGGGTAAAATCAGAAAAACTACAACAGGTAGAGTGTCAAAAGCAGGTTCACAAAAATAGGGTTGAAAGCTTCCTTTGGCTTTTTTGTAAATTATTTCCAAAAAGAGCAAAATGGAAGCAGAATAGGCCTCAACACATATTTGAATTAATGATCTAATAATAAGTACAACATAATCCTGGGAAAATGTTTTAAATGCTGTCAGAAAATGTTACATATTTTGATATAATAAGATTTAATCATAAAAATAGTTACATATAATATGTGTTTCATTTTAGAGCCTCCTCTTTTTTATGGAACTTTTTGTTTCAAATTTCTACTTTCTATTTTTAAGCAATTTTTAATTTTATAATTATACTTACTTACATATTGTGTCATTTCTTAAAAACATTGGTATGTAATACTTTCTAAGAGCTAAAATACCAGAAATGATCACTTATCTATGCTTTTATTTATATATCAGTATATTTATCCACACAAGAAATTCTAGAGTTTTATATGATTATAGAGGCTTCTTCCTGAACTCTTTGCCCCAGAAGTTGTTTCAAAATTCCTGCCTTTGTTTCAGACCCTTATTAACTTATGCCAAAGTAAAGATTCAAAAATTATTTTCAAGGTTTAATTAGGAAATTTTCGTATTGAAAAAAAAAGTACCATCTAGTGGTGTCATTTTGAAAGAAAAAAAACACAGTTGGGCCTCTTCAACAATAACAACAACAAAAAGTGCCATCTGATGGTGTCATTTTGAAATTTCCCTAAGAGATGGTTCTGAGCTTGTCCAGTCATCGAATGCCCACATGTCTCACCCTGTCATAGTCTCTTCCAATTCTCTTTAACTAGACTAAATCCTAGAATTATTTTACTTGCACATTTAACAAATATAAATTGAAGGATCACCAAGCAACAGACATTAATTCCTCCACAAATCAATTCAATAAGTATCTACTAGGCTTCTACAATATGTTAGGCCTCACTAGGCACTAGAAATATACAGAAACAAGCCTTTACAAGTCCTGTTCTCAAGGAGTTCACAGCTTAGAGAGGGCAAGGTACTTTAAATCAAGTTGGATGAGTGAATGAGAATTAGGGGGAAAGCATCAGGTGCTATGCCCATGGAGACTAGGTGGGTAGGTTGGCTGGAGAGTAGAATGAAAAAGGAAGAGAAGCAGAGAGTGATGCGATGACATTTATATTGAGCCCTGGGTGACTTAAAGTATTTAGGAAGGCAAAAAGATAGAGAAGAGAGAAAGGATACATTTTAGACATTATAGCATGACTGGGGGAGTGGGTCACCTTTCTTTCTTTTGTCTCCAGATATTAAAACCTTAGAGAAAAACACTCCGAAAATATATTTAAAATTTACATAATCATGCTTTCAAATCATCTAGAAATTGTGATAAATATATTAGGCTAAAAGAGGGGGAAATGCATTTGCAATAAGCCTTTTATTTTGAGACAGAGTCTCACTGTTGCCCAGGCTGGTGTACAATAGCACGATCTTGGCTCACTGCAACCTCCACCTCCCAGGCTCAGACAACCTTCCTGCCTCGGCATCCCAAATAGCTGAGACCACAGGCACACCCTACCACATCTGGCTAACTTCTTTTATTTTTGATACAGACAGGATTTCTCCGTTACTTAAGTTGGTCTTGAACTCTTGATCTCAAATGGTTCACCTGCCTCAGCCTCCCATAGTGCTGGGATTATAGGTATGAGTCACCATCCCCGGCCCTGAGAATTTAACAATTTAAACATTTGTATTAATTTTAATTTTTATGATTTCTTCTTTGGCTTTCAAAACTATTTTGATCTGCCGTACATACAAATGGTGAGCAAAGTCAATTTTCAGAGAGCTATCCTATCAACAAACTATGTTGTACTTTACTTCTTACAAGAAAAGAACTTTGACCAAAAGAAAAATCTTAAAGTTATACATTATTTTAAACTGAAAAAAAAAAAGCCACATTAATCATTTAGTTGAGTCTCTATTTTACAGATGAAAAATGAAGGCTTAAAGCAGGCAGAGTGACATGTTCATATTGTCATACAGTTGGTAGCTGAGTCAGAGCCAGTACTACCAAACCAGGTCTAATTCTAGTTTACCTAATCTAATTTAAATAGTTTAAGTTGTCTTACTTGAATTAAATCATTAAAGGTATAATCAATATACACTTGATAGACTTTAACATGTACTCTGTACAGAACCTAGAATTCCTTCTAATCAGATCTGTTTCCATTGCCTGTCCTCAAAGATGTTCCTGAACATTGCATAGACTAAGATATGTGTGCAAAAACCACAAGAATGGGGAAATTATCGCCCAGTGACACAAAAGTAGAGTGTTCTTTTGAAAGACTTAATCATGCAAGTTAGATACAAATACAAACGCTCTTCAAATTTCTTGAGAGTTACAAGGATGAATTAAATTTACTTCACATAGCTGTTGTGGAAAGCTTGTGAGTGCATTCTGGTGAAGCTCCAGCTTTTCAAGATGCTCCAAATGACCACTTATACAGCATTTCTGGCTTAAGGCATCAATATCTCTTAGTTCATTTGCTGAAAGGTCTAGTGATGTAATATATTCTCTCTCAGAAGCCAGAGAAGAAATACTTTCTGAATGCCTCATATGGGATTGAAGTTTTGATGACCCTTTTGTCAAAAACAAAGAAACAGTGGAAATATAAGCAAATAATTTAAATTCATGTGGTAAAAGTTTACTGAGCACCTCCTAGCAATCAGGCTTTCTTCAAGGCATTGAATATTCAGTAGAAAACCAAACTATGGAGTTTGCATTCCAGCGGCAGAGATGAACAGTAAATAAAAAACATTTCACCAGGCGGTGTAAGTGGTGTTAAAAAAAAAAAAAGAAAGAAAACTGGAGAAGAGGATGAAGAGTGGCATTGGTGGAGGTATTATTTACATTTCAGAAAATTTGTAAAAAAGTATTAAAGTGTTATATAATATTCAGGAAAGGTAAATTTTTAAATCTATATTTCATTTTTCTATAGCTTATGGAAGGAATCATTAGGTAAATACATGTGAAGATTATGTAAGATGAAACTAGCACCAAAAGTCTTTGAATAATTGGAGGAAACGCAACAAAACACTGCACTCTGCCCAAAATATCTATTTACTTATGATTATATCCAAATACTTACTGAGTGAATCATCTGAAGATAATATTTTTCTTTTTCGCCTCAGTAAATCTTCATGATCAAAAATGGGTCCCTGTTAAAAAATAATGATGTTTATAATAAAATTGCTGTCATTTGTTGGAGAAGAGGACATTTTTATAAGGAAAGAACCACAAAATTTTAATGGGGTTAAATGGTATTTATAATTAGGGGAAAAAAATAGGCAAATAAAAAGTAAGGTCCCAATTATGAAGATAAAAGAAAACAATCCAGTTCAGTGCTCAAATGACCTTAGAAAGACCTACTCTTTCTCCTTTGTTTTAAATATAAGGAAACTGAAAAACAGAGCAGTTGAGTCAAAAAGCTATATACATATAATTTCTCTCATTAATCAAACTACCTTTTATAACTAAGCTGTTTATATAAATTTGAAAGAGCATACATAAAAACTGAGAGCAAATTTAACCTATTCAACTATAGTCATTCATTTCACCCATCTTAAGATCTAGAATTAACATAAAACAACCCTCATATGTTTAGTACTCAGCTATAATCAAAATTAGAACATAGGTTAGAATAGATCTGCCAAAGTGAACCTGAAAATAAGCTGGCTCCCAATTTTCTCAACTAGAGTTATCAAGCTCCTCATGCAAATATGCCATAGTCCTGTCATAGTTCAAAAACAGACAGCAGGTTGAAATAATAATGGTGTCTAAAAATTAAGTGACTTTCAATACACTAATATATATATAGATGAACAATGAATGATATTATGCTGCTCCATCTTGTTTAGTGTCCTTCAGACTTCTGTCTGGCTTCTCAGAAATCACTATAAGATTTCTAGCTAAAGTATTCATGGGACCAATCCACATCATTAGCTACAGGTCTAGCCTGGGCTCTTTTCAGAAATGGAGTTATGAAAAGAAAGAAGAAAGCCATCTTGAAGTGTACTGTCAATACATATATGTCCCAAACAAATGCATACCCTGCATACTCAAAAGACTACAAATATGAATTTAGCATCATTTACATCTAATATGTTTTCATATAGGTATGTATGTGTACATACATATATATATAAAACATCTCAAAATTACAGTTTTCATGCATCAGGGAAATCCCTACCAATTCTTCCTGGCTTTGACATAAATTTTAGTTATCAAGAGAATGTCACCAGCAAAACACAACATAATCACAATTTAACTTACCAAAGAATTGGAATGCCTTTGCAAATTTGGTGAACAACGTTGCAATGCAAGATCTCGGTAAAATTCTCCTACACTAATTGAATTTGATTTCTTTTTCACAAGGAATGAGCCTTCACTTCCTATTTTGAAATGATAAAATAACATGAAGGTGAGTACGAAACGCTTACTCAATCAAAAGATCCTAGTATCATATTTCAATCATGGAAGATTAAACCTATTTTTATTAATGGAAATTTCGCAGTCCATTTCCCTTGTAAAATCCTTAAAATAGAAATTGATAAGCCATGTTGGTTTTCACTTTAAAAATTCAATAACATTTTCCTTCACCCATAAATATTTATGGAATGGCTGTTATAGACTAGACACTGGGTAAGCACTGGATAATAATATGCAGGAAAAAAATGAATCCATTCCTGAGAGGAGCTCATAGTCCAGCAGAAAAGAGCCAAATCAATCAGTGGTTACACATGCTATAACAAATACATGTGTGTGCAGAGAGCAGAGAAATTTTGTGTGCCATCTGATCAATGTGATGACTTTCTGTTTTTCTGAATTTTTTATACAGACCATTGCAATGGGGTCCTGCAGCCTGGGAAAGAGAGTGGGTTAACTACCTGAATTTTTCTTATAAATTTTTCAAATCTTGCTTCAAATGTTATAATAACACAAATTATTTAAATCAGCAATTTTGAATGTATTCCTATTTGAATTTCATGTTTCATGGTTTCTTTTATGGAATGATATTAAAACAAACACAATGAATTTGGCTGGCAATAATTATTTTATGAAATAAGGAAAAAGTAGAACTTTTAAAACAATATATTTTCCAGAAAATAAATCAATAAATAAATCATATTAAAGATAAATAATATGAATGCATTTGTGAAAAATTATTTATGGTTTTTAATTCACCTACTCTTTATCTTAGAAAAACAAAAAATGCATTTTATGTCAGAACAAAATTATAAAATCTATATATCCAAAAATCACCTTTATAATATTTAGTATAAATCCTGATATAAACAGTTCCTGCCTGAGTCATTACAAATTTAATTATTTCTATAATTTAAATTATTTTAATGCTTAAGAATTTTAATAAAATAGAATTTATAATTTAATAACAATTACATAATTATAAAGATTAAATTATAATTATCCCATGTTATATGTTTGTGAAATGTCTAATTAGCACATTAGTTGTACAAGCAGCATAGTGCATTTTATAATTATTTTATGTTAAAATTTCTAATGCTTTCTTTAAAAATACTTGAAGAGAGTTCTTTCAGGCATGATGGAGTTACAAGTGTGAACTTAACCTACTGCCATAAACAACAAGAAAACTGGACAAATATATTAAATGACTGAATGCAGATACTGGTCAACAGACCACATAGGACTATGTAATATTGGAAAGAAGGGAAACAAACTATGTGAGCCCCATGATCACTCTGGCCTTCTGCTTGGAGATAATTTAAGGGCCATACATGTAAGAAGAAATGTAAACAGCCTCATGTCTTTCCTGAGATGAGGAGATAGAGATCAATATTTATGGAGACTGAGATAGCTGAGAGTTCTGGGGCAGTTACAGAAAAAGAGCTCCAATAATCTGCATATGGGTTTCTGGAAGATCTGCACAAGAAATGTAAAAGGGAATCCTGCCAGAAGAAGAAAACAATACTAACTGCAAACTTAGATTAATATAAAGTGGTTACTTCATTAAAAAATATTTTAACTATAGCTCTTAATGTTCACACACCCAACAACAGAGCTTCAAAATATATAAAGCATAAACTGATAAAACTGAAAGGGTGACCAACAATTCCTCAATTACAACTTCAATAATTCTCTTTCAAATACCATAAATAGAAAGAAAAATCAGTTAAGTTACAGAAGACTTGAGAAATTCTACCAATTTGACCTATTGATTTGACCCAGCAACAGCTGAACACACTTTCTTTTCAGTTGCATACGGCACAACACCAAGACAGACCATATGATAATCTATAAAGCATGTTTCAATAAATATAAAAGGATAGAAATCATCAGAGTAGGTTGTCTGACTACAAAAAAGTTAAACTGAAACCAGTAACAAGAAAATTATCCAGAAAATGTCCAAATATTTGAAAAACAAGTAACACTCTTCTAGATAACTCATAAATCAAAGACGTCACAAAGGAAATTAAAAAGTTTTTAAATGAATGCAAAGATGACATATCAAAATATTAGGATGCAGAGAAAGTGGTATTTATAAGGACATATACAGCCTTAAACAAATGTTTCTGTTATAAAATAAGAAGGTTCTAAAAACCAGTGTTCTAACTTCCAGATTAAGACTCTATAATTTAAATAAAAATAAGAAAAAGGGAACAACAAAGATAAGAACAAAACTCAGCGAGAAAGTAACAGAAACAATAGAAAAAATCAATGAAACAAAAATCTGATTCTTTGAAGAGATCAATAAAATTCATAAACTTTGATCTAGACTGAACAAGAAAAAAAAAGGAAAGATACAAATTACCAATGTTAAGGATGAAAGATGAAATATCTTCGATCATTAACAGGATAATTAAATAATTATTATAAGTAACATTAAACAAATAAATTTGGCAACTTATATGAAATAGCCATATTCTTTGAAAGTTCTAAATTACTAAAATTGACTTAAGAAGTAAAAGAAAATTAAAATAATCATATATCTATCAACGTTATTAAATTCTTAATTTTAAATATCCTCCCTCTATAAGTTTAAAACCTAGATAGTTTTTGCTGGTGAATTCTCTCAGACATTTAAGAAGAAAATAACACCTTTATACAAACGCTTCCAGAAAATTGTAAAATTGGAAACACTTCCCAATTCATTTCAAGAGGCCAGCATTACTCCCATAATTACAAGGAAGCATAAAACTACAGACTAATAATGCTCACAGATGCAAAATTCTTAAGAAAATTTTAGAAAATAAAATTTAATATTATATAAAAATGATAATGTACCATAACTAAGTGAGATTTACTCCAGGAATGCAAGTTGGTTTAACATTAGAACATCAGTCAGTGTATTTGACCATTTTAATCAAATAAAGGGGAAAATACGAATACCTCAGCAGATGCTAAAGAGCATTTTTCAACACCCATTAACGATTAAAAAAAAAAAAGGCTCTGAAAAAATGACTAGGAAGAAGCTTCCTCAATTTGATGAAGGGCATCTATGAAAAACTACTGATAATGTCATAATTAGTGATTAGAGACTGAATGTTTTTCCTCTAAGTTTGGAAACCAGGGAATGATGCCCATTCTGACCAATTCTATTCAACATAGTACTGGAAGTCCTAGCCAGTGCAATATGACAAGAAAAAAAAGACATAAATATTAGAAAAGAAGTAGCAAATCTTTCTTTATAACCAAATGGTATAATGGTGAACAAAGAAAATCCTGTGGAATTTATAATAAGGTACTGGAACTTATATGTGAGCTTATGATGTTTAGAGGATACAAAATTCATGTAGAAATAAATGAATTGTATTTCTATATATCAGCTGTGAACTACTGGAAATTCAAATTCAAATACAATACCATTTATAATAGTATCAGAATACATGTAACACATGTTAGAAATTGTAAGACTAATTGAAATATATATCACATGCATATGTCAAAAGACTAATTATTAATATATTAGTTCCCTCAAATTGTTTTATAGATACAATCTATATAATGTATATATTATGTTATAAATTATTTTAAAATAATATATAGGTAATATGATTTAATTTATAAATTAATAATATATAAAATCTATAATGTGGACTTAATTACAATAAAAATCCCAGCATAAAGTTAGTTGCTTCAAAATTTATATGGAAATGGAAAAAAACTAGACTAATAAGAACAATTTTTTTTTAAAAGAACACCAGAGGACTTACATTACCTGATTTCAAGACCTGCTATTAAGCTAGAGTAATCAAGACAGTGTAGTATTGACGTAAGTATAAGGTATAAATCAGTGGCACAGAATAAATAATGCTAAAATAGAACCATACCTAAATAGTCAATTAAAGAGAATAAAGCTTCTATTAATTTAATGAGAAATTATACAACATTTTCAACACGTAACGTTGGAACAACTGGATATCCAACAGAAAGAAATAAATGTCAATCCTTCATTGACACATCACACACAAAAATCAACTTAAAATGTTTTAGACCTAAATGTCAAACCTGAGATTTTAACACTTGTAAGAGAAAACATGGGAGAAAATATTCACAAATTTAGATTTCTTAAAAAAAAAGATTTCTTAAGTGGGATAGAAAAAGCGCAAACCATAAAAGAAAACACTGGAAAACTGCATTTTACCAAAATTTAAAACCTCTGCTTTTTGAAAAATGGAATTAATAACATGAAAAGACAAGCTGTGACTGGCAAAAAATATTTGTAATACAGATACCTGTCACAGCTTCTATAGAATATATAAAGAACTCCTAATGTAAGACAACCCAATTAAAAGCAAAATACTTGAACACTGCACACACAAAAATAAGAATGGCCAATAAGAACATGAAAATATCCTCTACATAATTAATCAGGGAAATGAAAATTACAACCAAATGAGTTAAGCCTCCACTAGAACACCTTGAATTAAATTGACTGAAAATATCAATTACTAACAAGGATCTAGAGCAACCAGAATGCTCATGGACTGCTGGCAGGGGTAGAACATAGTACAACCACTGTGGAAAATAGCAAGAGACTTAAGAGTATTTACTGTATTATTCTATTTATAAAACTAGGGAAAACATTAATTTAATCTACAGCGTCAGGAAGCAAATGATTGCCAAGGATCAAGGGCAGGGGAAGGGGATGTTTACAGTGAAGAGATATGAAGGAGCTTTCTTGAATGGTAAAATATTGCATAACCTAATAGCGATGAGGACTATATGAATACGTTAATTTTCAAAGCACATGAAAATATATACTTAAAGAAAAAGCATTTTATTTTATATAAATTATATATATTTATATAAATTAATACATTTGATTTTAAAAAATAGTTTGACATGAGACACAATATTTTAGAATAACTCTCATTTTTTGCCCTCTCAAATATCCTTATTCTATCACCCAAAGTTTTCAATCATACTGTATTAATAAGAAAGCCCTTCACTCCATTTCTACCAAACTGCTTGTATTAAATACATCAGCCCTAATCACTGTCATTATGTATTTTGCCATATTAATTTTTTAAAAACTTATCTCAGGTAAGCTATTAAAATACTAATCTCCCAAATCATTTTATGAGACCAACATCATCCTGATACCAAAATCCGGCAGAGACTCAACAAGAAAAGAAAACTTCAGGCCAATATCCATGATGAACATAGATGCAAAATCTTCAATAAAATACTGGTAAGCCGATTGCAACAGCACATCGAAGAGCTTATCCATCATGATCAAGTAGGATTCATCCTGGGGTTGCAAGGCTGGTTCAACATATGCAAGTCTATAAACATAATTTACCACATAAACAGAACCAAAGACAAAAACCACATGATTATCTCAACTGATGCAGAGAAGGCCTTTGACAAAATTCAACAGCACTTTATGCTAAAAACCCTCAATAAACTAGGTATTGATGGAACGTATCTCGAAATAATAAAAGCTATTTATGACAAACCAACAGCCAATATCATACTGAATGATATGGAAGCCAAAACTGGAAGCATTCCCTTTGAAATCTGGCACTAGACAAGGATGCCCTCTCTCACCACTCCTATTCAATATAGTACTGGAAGTTCTAGCCAGAGCAATCAGGCAAGAAAAAGAAATAAAGGGTATTCGAATAGGAAAGGAGGAAGTCAAATTTTCTCTATTTGCAGACAACATGAT